AGGACCTCTGATGAATATCTGAATCTACCCCCACGCCTGGGAGCCCCATCTACATGCACTGATGCCCAGAAAGGAACTGGGCATTCCAAAACCAGCAGATGTTGGCAGCCCCTGCCGTCCTGGCTTCCAGATCCCTGCCACCTGCCTGCTCTCCCCTCCCCCACCCCCTACTTAACTCTCTTTCTGGGCTGGTACCTCTAGCACCTGCTCCCGGATGCTTGCTCCTGGCCCTCTGGGCTTGTCTTTATGTATTAGCTGCAGCAGAATTTTGGGGCGGGCAGATATCACCATCTTGGAGGCCATCCAAGGAGCTGGTGGCTGAAGCCCTGGGCAAAACCCCCAAGGACAGGAAGCACCATAGGGCCCAGGGCCGAGATGCCTCTGACGCAATTCACAGGCTCTTAAAGGGCCAGGGCCAGGGCCAGGGCCATGCCCGGCCTGGTGCCTAGCGTGGCAGGAGCCTGTAATGTGCACCCACAAGGACAGCAGGCTCACATTCCCCACAGCAGCTCTGGGGCCTCTTCTGGATACAGCATCCTTGCCAGCAGTTGGGGCAGCTGAAGAAAAACACCCCACAGGCTTCACAGATGAAGCAGACTCTACAGAAATTCCATCCCCGGCTTCCTGTGACACGGCCACACCAAGGTCGAGACCAACTGTGGGACACTGAATCCTCGGAGGCTCACGTGGCTGCTTATCAGCATCTCCCTTATAATATATTAAGGAAGAGCAAGAGAGATGGGTGCCCAGAGATGCCAGCTGGGCACACTCACCGGGGCAGGGGCAGGGTGGCACTGCCAGTACACAGGCAAAAAGACATACTTGCCTAGTGTGTGGGTCAGGTCTCAGAGGTCCCCTATCGCTGGGGGAGGGCCAGGGACATGTAACACCAGGGCACAGACCCCCAGCCTACCCTGTCCAGCTCTTGCCAGTATTGATGGCGTGTGGGCTCTGAAATAATCCTTGGGCCCCTAAACGCTTGGGGAATGCTGAGTGCCCTTCGCTCGACCCAGGAGGGCTGGGAAGGCAGGACAGTAGCCAGAGATCCTTATCACATGAGTAAGAGAGGCTCTGTGTTACAGCTAGGCCGTGGCCACCCCTGGCGGACAGCGTCCCAGGCAGGCAACAGGGACCGCGTGGTGTTAGAATCCTGGCTCTGCCATTTCCTGGCTGGGTGACCTTGGGCAGGTGACTTCACTGAGCTGTTTCCTCATCTCTAAAATGTAGGCCTGAGTAAACCGTGTCCCATGGGGACGTTCAGAGTTCCTCCTGCACATCTATCTAATCAAGCACTCCATCCAGAGGAGTCACGGAGATGATGCATGTCAAGCACTGCGCATGGAGCAAAGGCACGTCCCACATTATTCGTCAAAGCTCCTGGCCTCTGGCTGGTTTGAGATGCAGCCCTCGTCATCCTCTGGGCTCCTCCCGCTCAGTCCCAAGGGTAAGGGCACTCCGAGGGGCACCCACCCAGCCCCGTTGCTTCTCTCTGCCTCTGTGGGAAGCTGGAGAGAATTTGTCCTGTTGCCATATAAGGCCAGGCCCGGCTGGCCCGGGGTCACCTGCCATGCCACAAAAGCTCAGGGAATGTCAGCTATGTGGGGGGGAGTAGGAGGCACGTGCAGGTCCTGCCCGCTTGAGTATTTCAGAGAACACTCACATCCTTTTACACACGCACACAATGCACAGGTACATGCAATGCACACATGGCAGGGACAAACAGGCTGGCTTCAGGCAGTTTACTCAGCCCCTCTGAGTCTTGTTTTCTGTAAAATGGGAATAGACACTCAAGGGATTAGAGTGAGTGCTCCACGAGGTAATTCCCGAAGTACTCCTGGCATGCTGCCTGGCACATGCCGAGCGCTCAGAAAATGATCACAAAAACTAGAGCGAAACCAAAAAAAAAAAAAAAAAGTGCACTTCCACGCAGCTCCCCCAAGACCTCCAGGTCCACCCAAGACTCCCTTCTAATTTTACTCCTGACCCTTATAACAACAGTAGCCGAGACTGAGCTGCCCTGCTACCCCCTGGAAGCTTGCCCAGCCCCGGGTTGGTGGGGAGGCCCTGGAGGGAACTGGGATGTTGGCCCAGAGAAGCCCCCACAGCTGCCAGCCAGGCTGGGCTTGGCCCCAGGCAGCAGCCTCAGAGGTACTCAGGCACACGCAGCCAGGGCGTCAAGAAGCCCCATCTTCCAAGACATTCCTGCTCCCACAGGGCCACTGGGAAACTGTTCCACCCGGCCCCCCAGAAGCTCTACTCCAAAGGGGCAGTGAAGCTGCACTCCAAAGAAAAGCAGATCTGGGCTGCCAACCTGGTTCCTTCTAGAATCTACCCACCCAGGATGCCTGGGGGGCTTAGCAGTTGAGTGTCTGCCTTCAGCTCAGGACGTGGTCCCAGGGTCCCGGGATCAAGTCCCACATCGGACTACCTGCATGGAACCTGTTTCTCCCTCTGCCTGTGTCTCTCATGAATAAATAAATAAAATCTTAAAAAAAAAAAAAAAAAAGAATCCACCCACCTCGGGAAACTCCTGCTGTGGTCCCAGTCTTAGGTGAAGGACTCAGACCCTCAAGCAGTGACTCCCTGAGTCTGCAAGGACCCCCTGTCTACTCATCACCACTGACTGTCACAGGTACTCGGAACAAAGCAGGGATCGCTACTCCCATTTCAGGCAGGGAAGACTGAGATTCTGCACATGAAAGGGTCTGACCCGGGCAGAGCAGCCGGCATAGGCTGAGGCTTGTCTCAGACCTTGCCCCTGGGTTTCCACTCCCTGCGTCTTCAAGCACCAAACAAAACCGAAGACAACAATCATGACAGGTATGTGCTTTACATAGATTATCTCCCTGCAAAATCACAGCAACCAAACTACCATTATCTCGAGTGACGTGCCCAAGGTCATAGAGCCAGCGAGCCCCTTCACCCCCACTCGGGACTCCACACTATGTGGGGAGGGGGGTACCCTGACCTCCTGCGGGGTGTGGGGAGCAGGTCAAACTTCTGGTTTGCTCCTGGAGTCCCCTTCCTCTGGTTTGATCCAGCAGCCCGACAGCTGCTTGGATTCCCGTGGCCGGGCCCATAGTAGCTTCTGGGAAGGGAGGGAAAGGACACTGGACTGCAAGCTCTGTCACCAGCTTCTGTGTGGCCTTAGCCAGCTGCCTGCCCTCTCTGAGCTTTGGGGTCCCAGGGCAGTGACAGATGGCCCCTCTTCACTTTCTCCAGCCCTAGTGCTGTCCAGGTCAGCCCCTGGGGGCCACAGGCCCTCCCCCTTCTGAGCCATGCCAGTCCACCTCCCAAACAACCCAGAGTCTTACCCCACCCCACTGCCCTGATTTGCTCCCCCACCAAGGGCAGAACAGGCGCGGAAAGTCCCACACATTCTCAGCGACTCTGGTTTGCCTGACTCTGTTGCCACCTCTCCCCCATCTCCAGCTGTCTCTGGCTCAGGGGCCTACTGGCTGTGGGTGGATTCAGCCAGCTTGGAACCCGCCCTGTTGAGTGGCCCAGGGGGCTGTATGAGGTCAGGGTTGCAGGCTTCTGTCCAGAGGGCAAGAGCAGCCAAGACCAAGGGCGGGCTGGCTGCAGAGTAAACTGGGAGGGAGTCCAGCAGCCCGGACCCCTGAGAGCCCCAGCCACACGTCCAGTCTCCCTTTCAGCTGTGCTCGAGATGGCACCAAGAGGCAGGGTGATGATGGCACAGGGAGGCCGGAGTTTACTCGGAGGGACCCAAGGTCCCCAGAGTCCTGTGTTTGATTCCTACAGCCGGCAGGATGAAATCAGATAGGCTACCAAGTTCCAGACTCTCCAGAAAAATCAAAGAGGGAATCAAGATTGCAAAGCTCTGGCAAGAAGTAGTACTACAAAATACTGCAGTCCATGGACCTACCTCCACACAACTTTGACCATGACTCTGGTGACCGTCACCAGCTCCCAATCTGGGGACTCTGAGCTGGGCTTGGGCCTCGGGTGCCCAGCAGCTGGGGGAGCCAGCAGGCGGAATGCCCAGCCCTGTTTCAGTGGGCAAGCCTCTGCAGCCTGTTTGGAGGGAATCTGGGAGATGTCTACCTTAGGAAATCGTTCCAGCACCATCCACAGAAGTCATCGTCCCACCAGGTGTTGGAGCATGCACACTACATGCCTTCCCCTGGTGGGCCCTCATGGTGACCCCGACTTTGTTTGGAGAGTCTTTGCTGAAGACCACAGAGCAGGTACCTGATGGAGGCCAGGCCCGAGCCCTGATTTCACAGATCCCCAGAGCTCGGGCTGTGCTGCCTTTGAGCTTTGGCCAGCCTAGGGAGGCCCTGACACTTTAACTTATCTTCTAGAATTCACTGGTTGTTAAGCAAACGTTCGTGCAGCTCCCATTGTGTGCCTGGCAACGGCAGGATCTCTATAAAGAAAACCCACGAGGTCCAACAAGAAAAGCATCAGGTCTCTCAGAGAACTTTTCCTAAAGGCAGGAGTGAGAAAGAGTTGTGGGGTGGGCTGGGGTGCACGCTTGGATCTTCGATGGGGCAGGGAGCACCTACCTGCGGTCTGGACCCGGCTTCTAAGGCAGCCCCACCTGGACTTCTGGGCCATCTCGGGGCAGCCACCTTGCCTCTCTGGGCCTCCCTCCCCTCCACCGCTGTACTCCCCGGACCGCTCCGAGACCCGGAGGTCCCTCCCTGAGCCCAATCCTGGCGGCTGGTCCCAGGCGGGCTTCCGGGGAGGCCGGCGCCGGCGGCGTCAAAGCGCCCGGGCGAGCCCCACCTCCCCAGGCTAAGAGTAACAACTTGCAACCCGAGCGGCGGGAGCCGCGGGGGCCGCGGGGGCCGCGGGGGCCGCGGTAGCTGGAGGGGCTGGCGGGGACCTACCCGGAATCCGAGGCCCGGGGGCAGGGGCCGAGGGAGGAAACTGAGGGGCGCCCGGAGCGGAGGAAGGGGAGGGGGCGGAGGCGGGGGCGGAGGCGGCCTCGCGACCGGAGGTGGCCCCGAGGGGCGCCGGCCCCGCGCGCTTACCCGGTTGATCTCCGCCAGCCTCCGCTCCTGCCGGGCCTTGAGCAAGCCGAACGCCTTCCCTCCTGCGGGAGACAAAGAGGCGGCCCGGGAAGCGCGGGTGCCCGGGCCGCACGCCGCGCCCCGCCGTCCGCCCCGCGCGCGCAGGTGGCCGGGGGGGTGGGGGTGGCGGGGACCGCGCGGCGACGGCGGCGCCTACCTTGGAACCTGTTGCTGAGCGCGACCGACATGGTGAGCCCGGGGCTCCCGCCGGCGCGGGTCCGGCGGCCGCGGCGACGCACGACGAGGAGGACGGGCGCGCGGTCCGGGCTCCGGCGGCGTGTGGCGGCGGGACGGCGGGGCGGAGGGACGGAGGGACGGCGCGGGGGCCGGACACACCCCTGCGCCCTCCCCCCGCCGCCCGCCGCCCGCCGCCCGCCGCCCGCCGCCGGCATCAAAGCGCCTATTATGCGGGACGCCGCGCCCGCCGCCCGCCCCTCTGCTGGAGGACGCGGAAAGTGCACGGCGCGGCCCGCGGGGTCCCCCGGACTCGGTGCGGCCGGTCGGGGCGGCCTCCGCGGATCAGAGGCGGGCCCCAGGGCAGCTGTTAGGTTACGGGGCGCTGGGGCGGCGCGCGCTTGCAGAAGGCAGGCCAGCCGCCCCCAACTTTAAATTCTAGAACGAGAATTACAAGGGACGCCTGGGTGGCTCAGTGGGGGAGCGTCTGCCTTCGGCTCAGGGCGCGATCCCGGGGTCCTGGGATCGAGTCCCGCGTCCAGCCCTCTGCCTGTGTCTCTGCCTCTCTCTCTCTCTCTCTCTCCCCTCTCTGTGTTCTCATGAATAAACAAATAAAAATTTTTGAAAAATCTATTTCTTGAGCACTCCCTATGCATCAGGCACTTTGCCAGATCACTACAGGATATATTTTATGTCACTTAATTCTCAAAACTCTATGAAATAAGACTGTGTTCCCGTTTTGCAGAAAAGTCAGGCAGCTGAAGCCTGGGGGCACAAGACCACTGGGATGATAGGCCAAGCCTCCAGCTCCTGTGGGAGTGGGGCTCAGGGTGCAAGAACCAGGGACAAGTGACAGGGCCATAATGAAGCTTCCTGTCCAAAGCAGGACATTTCTGAGAGTGAAGGGTGGCACTGCTAATAATTATGCTGGTGGCCACAGGTACAAATGGGCACTGTCCTGAGCAAATGGCACACCTGGTCACCAGTATGTCCCCCCCCTCCCCTCCCACACAGAGTGTGTCCCTGGGGATTGGATCTGGAAAGTCCCCTTCCCCACAGACTTACCTTCATCTTGACCCAAGGATAGTGATCCTGGGACTAGCTGGGTGTCTTATTTTTCTGAGGTTGTCCCTGGGGGAGGAAGTGGCCAGGCTGTGTGTGACCTTGGGCAAGGCACTCAACTTGAGGCTCAGTGTCCTGACCTGTAGGATGGAGGCAACAGTGCCTCTCACCAAGCAGGGGCTGATAAAACTTGTATGACTTTCAGGGTGGTTTAAGCAGATAGTAAAAGTTTACAGGGGACAAGGGCTTAGGAATAAAAACCCTTGGTTGATGGAGATGTTCCATCTGGAGGCCAGACCTAAAATGGGGCCTCGTAACCTGCCTCCTGATCTAGGCTCAGATGGCCTGTTGCCCTGGTCAGTGGCGGTGGCTGGCCCCATAGGCCACTCTGCAGGGCAGAGGCCACCCCACCTTCCAGTGCTCAGCTGCTGGGCTGCATTGCTAGTCAGATGTTTGACAGCGGTCACATTCCACTCAACACAGCCCACCTCTGGGGCCAGAGAGCGGCTCTGCACACACCAGGCATGACGGGACCGTGTGAGTCACAAGATGTCAAGCCTGAGGGCAGCCCCAGTGGCGCAGTGGTTTAGCGCTGCCTGCAGCCCGGGGTGTGATCCTGGAGACCCAGGATCGAGTCCCATGTCGGGCTCCCTGCGTGGAGCCTGCTTCTCCCTCTGCCTGTGTCTCTGCCTCTCTCTGTGTGTCTCTCATGAATAAATAAATAAAAAATATTAAAAAAAAAAAAAAAAAAGATGTCAAGCCTGAGGTACGTCACCGTGGAGTGGAGAAGAGGCCTACTGTGCCCTCCCTGCCCTCCCCACCCCGTGTTGGGATGCTGAGGCTGGGCTCAGTCACAGCTTGAGTGGGTGGGGGTTTAATGCCAAGAGCAGGCATCAGAGTGGCTGTGTGCCTCCATCAGCAGAGAAGGTGGGTGTTGGGGAGGAGGGACCCGAGGGCACACAGTCTTCAAAGAACCGCAGTCTCTTTGGCACCACCTATGCCAGACACTGGTCATCAATCTCACTAGCGAGCACCATCCTCCTGCCCCCGTCCTCCCTCTCGTACCTACTGAGTCACTCCCTGCATCATTGCTGTCCACCACATCACACACACACACACACCTCTAACCCCCCATGGCCTTGGCTGTCAGGTTCTCTGTGGAGGGGCATGCCTCCCTCTCCTCTCTGAATGAACTCCCCCGGCAGATCTAGAGAGGGTATGGAGCAGCTCTCACCATATGGCCCTGCACCCAGAGACCTCTGTTATTCAGAATAGGACTGGGGGGCCCTGGCCTAAGCTGGGTCTCTCTTGAGAAAAGGTGGAATCAGGACAGTTTTAAGCTGGTCTCTGCATTTGACCCAATGATGGGGTGGGGGTGGGGGGGCATGAACGTCCTCTTCCATCAGGCTCAGGAAAAGCAAAGAAAGCTATTCTGCAGGGAAAAAAGACAGAAGCAAGTGCAGAGGGGGAAGGAGAGGCAGAGGCCCAGGGAAGAGGCAGGAGGGAGGGGACAGGAGAGTCCCCACCCCAGGCTGTCTGGAGGCTTGGCAGTCCTTCCCACCCCAGGATCCTAGGAGACACTCCACGACCTCCCAATGAACCCCTTTTAAATTTTTTTTTAAAATTTTTATTTATTTATGATAGTCACACACAGAGAGAGAGGCAGAGACACAGGCAGAGGGAGAAGCAGGCTCCATGTACCGGGAGCCCGACGTGGGATTCGATCCCGGGTCTCTAGGATCGCGCCCTGGGTCAAAGGCAGGCGCTAAGCCACTGCGCCACCCAGGGATCCCATGAACCCCTTTTAAATTTAAATGAACCTGGGATCCCTGGGTGGTGCAGCGGTTTGGCGCCTGCCTTTGGCCCAGGGCGCGATCCTGGAGACCCGGGATCGAATCCCACGTCGGGCTCCCGGTGCATGGAGCCTGCTTCTCCCTCTGCCTGTGTCTCTGCCTCTCTCTCTCTCTCTGTGACTATCATAAGATAAAAAAATTAAAAAATAAATAAATAAATAAATAAATTTAAATGAACTTGAAGGACAGCCCTGGTGGCTAAGTGATTTAGAGCCTGCCTTCCACCCAGGGCCTGATCCTGGGGACCCGGGATCGAGTCCCATGTCATGGAGCCTGCTTCTCCCTCGGCCTGTGTCTCTGCCTCTCTCTCTATGTGTCTCTCATTAATAAATAAATAAAATCTTAAAAAAAAATAAACCAATTTGAAAGGGTTTAGACTATGTGGCCAAGAGCCTAGACTGCACATGCTCCATAATCCATCGTACCACAACCTAGGTTCCTGGAATGATCTGCCCCGGCCAGGCCCCCACCCTGTAAACCCGGAGCTATTGCCCACCCTTCTGCCTGGAAGGTTCCCTCTTTTTCCCCACCCTTTAAGGCCAGGCCCAAAGCCCTCCTCTTCTTCCTCTTCCTCCTCCTCGGTGTGCCTTTCTATGCCGGGGGACATTTGATTTTGAGTTCAGTTTCCTGCCTGAGTGTCTCCAGCCTGAACCAGAAGTCAGCTGAGGGCACCTCACACCTCCCTAGGCTTTGCTTGGCAAACCCCCTGGAGCAGAGGGGAGACAGTGGGTGCCTATGGTCGTAGGTCTCATCAAAGCCCTCCACATGGGAAGACTGGCAAAGCCAGTGAGCTCTGCTTTTGCCACCTTCCTGCTACTGCAGTGGACCGGGGTGGCTCACCGAACATTCTTCCACCCACTCGCGGGTACCAGGCGTGCGTACCCACATGCCAGAGTAGTGAATCGGCACCCACAGCCAGGGCCTCTGCTGCCAGCCAGCACGAGAGGACCAAAAGCCTGTCACCCAGATAGTAAAGAAGTCCTTTATTTTCACATTAAACAGAAGTGGTCCATGTTGCTGCATGTCCCCCCTGCCTGGGGCAAGAGAAGCCATGGGAGGGGTGCCACCATCGGTCCCAGAGTTGAGGGCCTGCTGTCTGCTGGAAGAGGGCCCTGGGAATGGGGAGGGGCTCCGGAGGGAAGGCCAGGAATCCTGGGCAGAGGCTGGCAGGCGGCCTGACCACAGGAGGACTCCCCAGCAAGACAAACTGGCCTCCACACCCAGCAGGGGCCTCCCCGGTGGCAGGTGGGGCCACAGGGCCTCAAGGCCAGTGTCAATCAGTCTAAGGCCGACGGAGGTCATGGAGTCACAAAGAGGAGCTCCCACATGACCCTCAGTCCCCTGACCTAGGTCCCCTCCGGCCCTCAAGGCTCAGCTCTGTGGACAGGCCACAGGCTGAAAGGAGCACCAGGCCCAGGGCAGGCAATTCCCAGGATCCCCAGAGACCAAAGTATTCTACGCTGCTGGTGATAACCGTGCAGCTGTGGGCCATCCTCCCGGCTGGCCAAGTAGGCTGTCCCATGGCTCCAGAAGTCCCTGGGCCTCAGGTTCCACTGCTGAAACCCCTCAGATCTCGGCTGAGGACCTTCCATCTCTTGGACTGCTTGGTCCCTTGGTGGTGTGGAGCTGCCGGTCAATGGGTGAGAAGCTGCAGCAGAACAGGGGGAGGCTCTGGGGCTCTGGCTCTTACTGAGCCCACCTGGATCTTTGCGGATGGTCCCCCTCAGCCTCTCAGGCACCATACTCTGCCTGGGTCCTTGCTTTCAGGAATGAGAGTGAGGACTGTAGCGCCAGAGGGTATTTAACATAACCCGAGCATCCAGAGGGCACACAGCACAGCTGGTGCTCGCTAACCAGCTGTGGACTGTCGTGTGTGCATGCACAGAGGAACTTCTATGGGTTTGAGCATTATGCCCACAGGCGTGTCCCCACAAGGCGTACATATGCATATATATGTATGTGTTGTTAACACTGGGGTGTGTGTGTTTATGCATCGTAGCACGGGAGTGCCTGCTGATGGTGGTGGGCACCCAGGGGCCACCTGGGTGAACTGTGTACATACATTCACTCCAGTGGGCATGGAGGAGATATGGGCATGGACTTGGGAGGCTATGTGAGCATTATTCAGGGTGGACACACAGCGGCAGACTCTGGTGCATGTGCCTGCATGGGTGCACTTGTGGGATGCGTGTGCATGCCCTGGGCTAGGGCCACAGCCTGCAGAGGTCGGGGGGTGGGGGGGTCTGGGCAGCCCTCACTGCCAGCTGGCACAGCTCTTGGGCAGGCTCTGCAGAATGGCCTCCAGGTTCTGCTTGTCAGCACGGATCTCAGCAAGGTCGTTCTCGAAGCTCTGGATCTGCAGCTCCTGCTGCTCAGACTCCTGCTCCAACAGCCTCAGCTTCCCCTGCAGGGCCCCTGGAGGGCTCAACTGCAGCCTCAGGCGCTCCAGTGCCCACTGGGTCTCGTTCAGGGCCTGCACTGGGGCTTGATGGGTGTCCAGTGACCCTGCAGAGGGACACAGACAGCCTCAGCACAGGCCAGCCCCCCTGCAGGCACAAGATGCCTGGTCAGACCCCATCCCTAAGATCCTTGCCAGCCCAAACCATCCAGGATTCTGACTGTCCACAACCTACCAAGAAAGCAAGGGACAGAGGGGGCAGTGTGCCTGGCACCCCCCCCCCCCCCGGATTCACATGAGGACTCTGAAACTTTCCCCTTACGCAGCACTGGGTAACTGTTCATTTTTGTTGGTGGTATTGCTATTATTGATAAAAGGAAGGCCCTGTGTGAGTCCTGAGCCCATTTCCTAGAGCAGTGCATGTGCACAAGGTTCCCATGAGTCCTACCGGCTCCAACATACCATGTTGATTTGCCAGGGGCACACATTTACAGATACCACCTGTGCCAAGATGTGGGTAAAAAGCAGCATCTCTGGCATTAGAATGAGGATGGGGCCAGCAGATACGGCAGGAAGGGCTGCGGGCCCAGGGAAGCAGGCAGTGGGGGTCTCATCCTGGCCCAGCACAGATTAACTCTATTTCTTGGAGTTAAATACTTCCCACAGCCTCTCCAAGGGTGAATCATGGTGGTGGGGCCAGGTGCTCACATCTGAACTGGGTGGTGGTGGTGGCGGTAGCCTGGAATCCATGGGCTGTCTTCTGACCCTCGTCACCTCATCATTTACAGGTGACATTCAACAGGAAGATGAGGTTCAGCCACATGGGAGAGTAGAGGGGATGGGGAAGTACTTTTTTTTTTTTTTTAAGATTTTATTATTTGAGAGAGAGAAAGAGAGAGCATGCATGAGCATGAGCAGGGGAGTGGCAGAGGGAGAGGAAGGAGGTCAGCAGGGAGCCTAATGCAGAACTCGATCCCAGGACCCTGAGATCATGACCTGAGCTGAAGGCAGACACTTAACCACTGAGCCGCCAGGTGCCCCAGGTGAAGTAAGTTCTACATGGCTTCTAATCCCACAGGATCCCACTGAGCTCAGGGGTCCCCTAGCCCCAAATTTCCTGGGCAACAAAGGTGGGGGTTGGAAGGCAGGAATAGGTAGAGGGGATCTGAGCCCTGCCGGCCTGGGCAGATCCCACTCACAGCAAAGACATCGGTCCACAGGCAAGTCCAAACTGCCTGGCCTTCGAGCAGGTTCGGGTCCAGGCAGCAGCCGCACTCTACCTGCCCGCTGGGGCTCCCAGGCATGGGGCAGGGTCCAGCTGTGTGCTGCTCTCGCCTGCACCCCCAATCGAGCACAGCACCAGGACACACGGATAAATGGCAACAGCCAAAGCAGTTTACCCTTGCAGAGCGTTTGTCCCGGGCTGGGCACCAGGTCCACAGTGCTCTGGGTCCTTGGCATCGGGGACAGACCAGTCAGTGGCTGCCAGGGGACACCCTGAATCGGTTAGACCCGCGTGTGAACCTCGACTTTTGTACTGACTGCCCATGGGGCCCCAGGCACCTCATGTAAACTCTGTGCCTCAGACTGCCTATCTGCCAAACGGCAAGAGAATCTGTGTCCTTGCCTCTAACGCAGAGAATTCTAGAAGATCATGTGCAGGAACAGCGTTAGCGTGGGCCTGATGTGCAGACACAGCCCAGAACGTGGCGATTCCTCCCTTGTTGATAACAGTAAGTGAAAATGCGTGCTGTTCTACAGGTGACCCTGAGGATGCGACGCTAAGTGGCAGAAGCCAGTCACAGAAGAACAAATCCTGGGTGTGAGTCCACTGACATGAGGTCCCTGGAATGTCAAGTTCAAAGAGATGGAGGAGAGAATGAGGGACACCAGGGGCCAGGGGAGTAGGGAGTTCATGTCTGATGGGTGCAGAGTGTTTCGGGTTGAGAAGATGAGAAAGTTCCGGAGACAGAGGGTGGGGACGGCTGCACAACAGTGAGAATGTATGTAACGCCCCTGAACCGTATGCTTGAAGATGGTTAAAGAGGCCAATGTTGCATTATGTATTTTACCACCATTTTAAAAAATGCAGGCCTGCTGCCTCCGCACCCTGCTCTGAGGCCTCTGGGCCTTGCTGCACACTGTCCCCTTCATCTGAAATGTCTCCTTGCCGTGGCTCATCTCCCTTTTCCCTCCCCCGAGAGCAGCTGCTGCTCGCTGGCTCTTGCCACACAGCGTGGCAAGCACTTTCTAAATTATGCAAGGGTCTACTCCCATTTTACTGATGAGGGGACTGAGGCTCAGAGAGGTGGGGTGGGTTTCCCAAGTGGTTTTCTCACAGCCCAGGATGGGAAAGCATAGACTTGAGTCTTGGTCTGATTCCAAGCCAGCACCTTGATCCTCGACAGCACACTTGCTTCTGTGATATCCATGCTCCTCCGAAACCCTCAAGCACTCAGGGCCAATCTGCTCCTGCTGTGGTACCCGCAGTGGTCTGTGTGCTAGGTTTTCTGCGTCCTCCTCCCCTGGCCAGACTACTGGCCCTTGGAGGCACATAGTGACCGGCCTGGGGATGCCAGCCCCTCCTTGCCTGGGGGCCTGGGCTTATTACAAATGCTTTTGGCCGAGGATGGGGGACCTGCATGGCTGAGGGGGAGATCTTCTCTAGGGCTCAGCCTCCCAGAAGTCCTGAAGGTGCTCCAGGGACCCAAGGGTCTCCTTACCCAGCCTGGCGAGCAGCTCCGACAAGACCTTGACATCCTTCTCCAGGGAGGTCCGTGATTCCCAGATCTGCTGCTCCACGGCATTCAGTCTGGCACCCACCTGGGGAGGGAGGAAGGGAAAGCTTGAACAGGGCTCCTGCCGGTTCAGGGGGCCAGGGGGACATGGGAGTGTGTGCGGTGTGTGTGGGGGTCCTTGGCACACATACCTGCCCAGCTGCCTCCAGCTCCTGTCTGCGGTCCCCTGAAGCTAGCACCTGCTGGGAAGCCTGTCGGAGCGTTGTCTGCACCTGGCTGGAGAGCCGGCCTGCCCGCCGGTGCTCCTGCTTGCCCTCCCTGAGCAAGGCCTTGGCGAGCTGTGGGGGCAGGCAGCAGTGGGGGTCAGCAGAGGGTGAGTGGAGTAAAGAGCAGGTAAAGAGCACTCAAGGCCATCATGCCAAGCAGGCACCAGTTTGTGCCCCGCACCATACATTCATTCCACAAACGTGTACCGGATGCTGGCCAGATGCACAAAGCTAGCGGGGGGCCAGAGGGATGCACCTGGATTAGACCTTGGCCCCAACTAAACAACAAGGGCCTAGAAGTTTGGGGGAGTAAAGCCAAACAGACCTAGGTGAGAGCCCTGGCGATGCATTAACAAAACCCGGCTGGTCCTCAGGGTACTCACCTGTCCCATGGGGATAATAGTGACACCTATTTCTTGTGGGATCAACAAGGTCACTTGCATGATACTCCAGGGCTCAGAGCCTGGGATCCACTGAGCCCTTAGTAAGTGTGGAGCATTCAGCATTGTCTACACAGAAGGGGGCAGGGCTGTAGGGACCACATTTCACCTACGGAAGGGCAGCTCTTATAGGACAGTCCTCCCACAGGCCCAGGAGCAGGGACATCACTGTTGTCACCTCCATGGCCCTGACCTTAGCACTGTCCTTGGCCAACGTCTCGGCTTCCTGGCCCTTCTTCTTGGCACTGGCGGAGACAGACGCTGCATTTCCCAGCATCCTCTCTGCCTGCTTGGTCTTCTTTTTCAAGTCTGTGAGAAGCCTGCCCCTGACCGAGCCTGCCTTCCTCCCCAGCGTGGCCGGGTCCTTGGGCTGAGGAAACTGCCGCTTCATTCCTGCAAACCCGGGGGAGGCTGTGTCAGCAAGGCGGGCTTGTGCCTCAAGAGCCTGCCCGGCAGCCACGGCCAGACACCCAACCAGCCTCAGGCCTGCAGACGATGTGAGTGGAGGTTCTAGATGCAAGAGAGCTACCTTCTGAGGCTTGTTTGGGAAATAAACAAATAATGAGCAAGATGTACTGCTCAGTGATTTTTATTTCATTTTATTTATTTATTTGAGAGAGAGAGAGAGTACTGGATCTGTGGGGAGGGGCACAGGGAGAGGAAGAAACAGACTCCCCACTGAGCAGGGAGTCCAACACAACATGGGACTCGATTCCAGGACCCTGAGATCATGACCCGAACCAAAGGCAGACACCAACCAACTGAGCCACCCAGGTGTCCCCTGCTCAGTGAATTTAAAGATTCATAGTATATTATGATGTTTATTAAAATCTCGAGATTACATGGTGGTCAATGGCTGGGCCAGGGGTGGGAATGGATGGGGAGCCACAGCGTGGCACTCAGCAAATCCATTCAGCCCTTTGTTTCTATGACCACTTATTCCTATAAGGGCTTTGAGGCAGCTTACAGTGATAGGTAAGTCAACAACTGGACCATTAAAATAAAAAAACTAAGGGCCACATGCAACTGGGGGGATAAGGAAGGAAGGGAGGAAGAAGTGCCAGAAAATTAGGATAATGATATTGCAGGCACTGAATGCTCTACTTACCTCTGAGCTTCCTAGCAGCCAAGATAAAAAGGGAAAGTATTATGATTTGCATAGGTTTTCTTACCTAAAAAGAAGTAGCTTGTCTCTGTAAAGAAGACTTTTACCCTTTCGTTCAGATAAAATTCAAGGGAAATCAGGAGTACTGATTATAGCCAATTTTTAAAATGAATCAAACCTTCTAAGGCAGAATGTCACATAATTTTCTATGAAGATAATCTGGAAATTAGATTTGTTTCTTGTGTACAAAATTGGCATTTCTTAAAATGCAATCCTTGGAGTCCTAACTCTAAGCATCAGGAGGAAATGTCAATCAAGTTTAAATAAAGAGAACCAGGTTTCCCTATTGCAGGACTTCTCAGGGTCTTTACTACCCTAGGGTGCGCACTGTGTGGCCTCGAGAGGGCACTAGAATAGCGACATTTCCTAAACTGATCTGAACACAAACCCACTGTTGGCACAGCATGCCCACACTCCCCCAGAGGGCAGAGGTCCGTGGTGGGACTCACATCTCTTAGGGACAGCAGATGGAGTTGGGGAGGAAAGCCATAGAGCCACTAGGACCATAGAGCCTGACTCCGGATCTGGGCTAAGGGCCCAGGGCCACACCCTGGGGAAGGCTGCTCCATACTCCGTATTTTGCTCAGTCAATTTTCCTTGCATCCTGAATACCAATTGAGCACAGGCCAAGTGTTGGTGAAAGGAGGTGTCTCTGAAAGGGGGCAGGAATGGGGAAAAGAGCCCGGGTTAGCGGGTTGAGATGAGTCCTTGTGTGGATCGTGGTACTGCACCAGGGAGGCCAATGTCCATGCAGTATGTATGTCTGACAATGAGAAGGTGATGCCTCTTGAGCTAGTGAGCACGCATCACTGGAGGCAGCCCAGCAGAAGGCGGGGTGTGGGGGGGCAGCATATGGCTTTAGCAACCCTTAAAAATATTTTATGTTCTAAAGTCCTAAGGTATCTAGTATCACTAGATATCACTGAATTTACATTTTCCTAAACACGACTCAGAGGCAAGTGCACACAGCCATGCCTTCCCCATGAGAAGCCCCCTGACCCATGGGTGACTGGGACTTCAGACCGCAGAGGGACAGAGAACAGGAGGCACCGACCAGCTTGCCCCCTGCCCCAGAGGGCAGGGGTCTGTGGTGGGACCCGTATCTCTCAGGGGCAGCGAATGGAGTTGGGGAGGAAAGCCATAGATCCACTAGGGCCACAGAGTCTGACTCCTGATCTCAGACTCCAAGAGGCCTCTGGGGCTGAGCGTGCTCCTGCCTTGCCCAGTTCACTGGCACCGAGATAAAGGGTGAGGGGTCTTCTGTCTGCAGCAAAAAGGACATCAGACAAGCCTATTCCATAGGGGGACGTAGAGCTGGAGGACGCTAACATGGGACGGTTTCCATTCGGCATACCGCTGACCCTGGGGAGTTATCAATCCCTCTCCTGGGTCTACACATCTATAAAATGGGACCACTTAGCCTCATTTTCCTACAGCTCAGAGGAGACCTGGATTGGCATCAACCCACACCCCCCCTTTTTTTTTTAAGATTTTATTTATTTATAAATAAATAAATAAATAAATAAATAAATAAATAAAATAAACCCACTCCCTTTCTAAAGAGAGCTCTGCCTCCTTTCCTATTGCCCCAGCTGAACACCAGACTGTGGCAGCCCTTGTACCGGTTGGACAGGACCCCCGGTAGGGGAGGACTAGACCAGGGACAGACAGTCAACAGCATCAGAGTCTCTTCCGGCCCTGACGGTTTTGTGTGTGGTCTGATGACTGATGGCCACGTGGGAGGGTACCTGTGAGTGGTGTTTGAAGGAAAGACAAGAAGCCCTGGGAGAGGTCCTGGCTGGGGGGAATGGGCTGTTTGGCTTATGCCCACACAGCTGGACTTTTGTCGCCTTCTTGTCCCCAGAGCCAAGCTGCTAGGGCTGAGGCAGGAGTCCAGGTGGCTGTCATGGGCATTTGGGCATCAAGAGGCCCAGGGCTCAGCAAGGATCATGTGTACCTTCCAGATCAGCCAGCAGGGTCCTGGCTCCCATGACAGTCACTGTGGCGGCCTGGACAGATGAAGAAGCCCGGGTCAGGGCAGCTCTGGCCTCCTGGCGTAGCTGGAGAGAGAGGAGAGAGGCTGGGCAGGGGGTTACAGGTGGGAGACACTGGAGGGATAGAAAGAACTCTCCCTGGTCTTTGCCCTCTCCTCTCCCAAACCTGTACCCTACCCCAGGACACCCTCAGGGCAGCCCCCACCAGGAGCCCACCTGCATGAGGGGCTGGGTCTTGTGCAGCATAGCCTGGGCAGTGGCCTGGAGGGCCCAGGCAGCCTCGGTAACCACCCGCTCTCTAGATGTGACCGTCTTCTCCAAGGCCTGAACTTTCAGGTCCAGGGCCCCAGCCTGGGACTTCTGGGGCTGCAGGGAGATGGCAGGCTCAGGCAGGACCTGGCAGGAAGGTTGTGGGGCAGACCCTCCAGTGGGTGAGAGGCAGCCTGGGGGCGGGAATGGGGGGGCACTGCATGTGGACCCCAGGAAGCAGGGGGGCCAGGGTGGGGATACCAGGCAGGGGAACCTGTCTCTACTCCAGCTCTACTAGTTACTAGAAGTGAGGCCTCCCTGACCTGTACTTCCTTCCCCAGGTCCATAGTCAGTGGAAACCCTGGGGCCTGATGTGCCTCCACATTTAGAACTTTCCTGACTCGAGAGAAGCAGAACTGTGCAAGTACTGCCCATCCTCTGGCACCTTCGGCGGCAACTGGGGCCACGCTCAGGGTCAACCCCGTTAACACCCGCATAGTACTCTTCATGTTCAGGAGCAGGGAAGCAAAGACCCCAAATAAACAGCTTCGGGTTGGTCAAGTTTTGCCCCAAATGCATTTGTAGAAGCTTAATCTCATCCTTAAAGTGCAGTTTCTGAGTTGTGGGATTTCAGGATTACAATGGAGCTGATTTATTCAGAGAGCCGACAAGCGGTACGCCCACCTTGCCCATTACTTATGAATCATCTCCCGGCCCCCGTGGACGCAGCCCTAATGTAACCTGATGGGCAAGCTCTAACAGAGGACTTAACCAGAGCAGGGGGAGGCTGAGTGGAGTCCTTGGCCAAAGTCACAGATCTGGAGCAGCGGGGCTGGGATTTGATCCCATGTCTTTGCTAATGCCACTACCAAGAATAGGCCCAGCCTCGCTATTATCACCACAATCAACAACAAAGACTGGCTGAGCCCTAACTCCATGCCAGGCAGGTGCCCCGCCAAGCCTCGGAGGTAGATTATCTTGTTTTAAATCGACTGCTATATAAAGATAAGCTACATCATCTGCCTCTGCCTGGGCTGCACTGGTTTCCCAGCTGCCACAGCCACCCACCTCCGCGCCCTCCCACCCCCTTGGAGCTCCAAGGACTGCCTGGCCAGGCTGACCAGTGCCATGGGTGCAGCCAGCAAGGCCAGGCGCGGGGCTGCATCTACACCGACTCGCTGCACGGTGGCCAGCGCCCTCTCCGCTTCAGGCAGCACCTCTGCTGTGGCTGTGCCCAGCGCCTTCTGGGCCGCCTGGACATCCTGGTACCTGAGAGAAGACAGCAGAGGTGGCTCACAGGGTGGGGCGGGGCACGGGGCCATCCTTCCCCATGGCTGCCCCCCACCCCTCGCTGGAGCCATCTGTAACTTCCCAGGCAGAGCCGTCCTCTGCAGGCTCAGCACCCAGCAGCTGGCCTCAGAAACTGGCTGCTATTCGGCAGAAGAGGCACCACATTCTTGTTTCTTCATTCATTCAATTCAAGCACTCTTTTCTGAAGGGGCTTGCCCTTGGTTTCCGCCTGAGAATCATCTGTTTTGCAAATGTTTGGAGCCTCTGGCTGAATCACTAAGCAGTAAATGCGAGGTGCGGTGCTGGTGCGGAGGAAGGGACCTCAGCCTAGGCCCTGGTCTTGGCTGGGCTGTGCCCTTGGGTGACCTTGGGCATGCTGCTCTCCAGATAGATGCAGAGTCCTGGGCTGCATGGTCGCTCTGGGGCTCCATCAGCACCAAGGTGCTGGAATCAACCACCTAGGACTTTCCAGCTGTCCACAACCTTCCTGCCCAGCTCCATCATGGGCACTGCTGGGGCACGGTCCCCCACCACTGTACTGTCTCTTCTCCCTCCCCACTTCTCAGAGAGCCGGGGTCCCCACCGCTGTCCTAGGAATGAGTCATGAGACCTCACCCCACCCACGCCAGAGGGCTCAGGGATGGCTACCTGATGGGAGGTGGGTCTCAGATTCTCTCATCTAGGAAGTCAATCTGGGATTTATGAAACCTTGCTGGGTCTCTCCTGACCCTTTGACTGCAGAGGACATAGGAGTGTCACCCAGAGCAGAGAAGCAGAGGCCAAGCAGGAAGCTGCTGCCTGACAGGAGGAGCTGCCTGGGGCGGAGGGGGTTGGCAGGTAGAGCGGGGCTGGGGGATGCTGCAGGGGTGAGAGAGAATGGTGCTGCTCTGGACCTTCCTGGTTCAAGTTCTTGTCCCTTCTCTCCAGAGGCTGAGCCACACCCCCAGGCATAAGTGGGTTCCTGTAACTTACCACCCAGTCAGCCCAAGACCTCAGACATTCCCCCACCCCCATTGAAAGAATAAAAGAAGCCAGTTCTGGGCCTAGGATCCGTCAGCTGCAGGAAGCCAATTCAAGCCCTAACCCACACCCAGGAGGCCTCACCTGTCCTCTAGTTCCTGCTGGGCCTCCAAGGCCATTCTGCCCTCCACTAGACTCCAGAGAAGGGTGTAACTGGTGTTGGAAGCAACTAGAGCCCTCCAAGCAGTGGCCTTGATCTTGGCAGTGGCGTCCTTGTGGCTGTATGGAAATGCCCACCTGGCCGTCATCAACCACTCACACAGAAGGGAGTGTGTTCCCGAGCCCACACCTCCCACCACGTGGGCCTTTCACCATCCCAAGCAGTCCAGCCCCGAAGGCCAGACTCCTCTTTCCCACCTGACACACAGTGAAGGCTGATGGGAAGGGATCCATACCCCACTTCCTGTTACATAGAGTTTATGCCTATTATCCTGGCATAATGGTCAAGAGGGCCTTTTACCACACATTAAATCTCAGTTTGGACAATAATGATATGATGACCCTAATAAAGACATCACAGAGGAGGGTGCTCAGGACAGCCTAGGTCTGGATCTGGGCAGAGGGACACCTGTGAGGTTGACACTGACCCCAGAACCAGGGGCAGGGAAAGGGCTGGGCTCCCTTCATGACTGTGTGGGCAGGACCTCAGCAGGCTCCTGGGACTTGGGGTCTAACCTTCTGGCAAGAGCACGGGCCTCTGTGGCGAGGTGGCTCCAGGTGGTGGGCTGGCTGGGCCCATTCTGAGGAATCACCTTTAAAGAAGAGAGTGAGAGAGGAGGAATGACGGCCATCCCTGAAAGGCAAGGGCCTCGTTTGGTTAAATTACTGGGAGAACCAGACCATGCCAGTGGTTTCATAAAAGCCTCAAAGTCAGCACCCAGTGAACAGAGCCCCAGAATGTGGAAACAACAGGAATGACACCCACCACCCATTTGATGGGCATTCACTGTCCGCCTGGAACATGCCTTGTTCTATGTAGACAGTAGCCCACTGAGTCAGCAGAAGGGATACTATGTGACCCCCATTCTGCACATGAGGAAACTGAACCTCTCCAAAGAGGCACACCTCAGGCCACCAGATTCCCACAGTGAGCCCAGGACAGGTGGTGCGGAGGGGCCCCTGCGGTACCAGGAACTTGAGGACAGTGGCCGCCTGCAGAATCTCCTCTTCTGAGGACTCTAACACTGTGTCAAGGTCTGCCAGCTGGATGCAGGTCTTCTCTGTTTGGGCCTGGGCACAGCTGACACCTCTGCTCAGAGCCCGCAGTTGCTCCCGGGCAGCCTTCACAGCATCCTTGAGGCCTGTCACCTGCTCCAGGAAGACTTCCCAGGCTCCTGCATGAAGCCCACAAAGTCCAGGTGTCACAGAACAATTAAGATTTTGCAATGAAGCTCCCGCTATTGGAGGACCCCATCTGTGCCCCACACTCTGCCTGGGCACAGCTTAGCTCCATCCATCAGCAGGCCTGAGCATCACCACCAGTCCAGTTCCAAGGGAACTGCCTTGCCATTTTACAGATGCCAAGGCTGAGGCCCAGAAGAGGCAAATCCCAACCCAAGGCCTCCCACACAGGAAGTTGGCCATAGTCGGCTGGAAGGAATCCAGACCTGCTGGAGTCACAACAAGCAATTCCCGAATCAGAGACAGCAGGAACCCCTGCCTCGAGTCAGCTCTGTGATCTGCAGTGTGGCTCAGGATAGGCCTTTTAACATAGAGCATCTGGAAGGAAGCTCCCCGTTCTGACAATGAGTGTTGCTAATGGGTGCTCAGTTTACCTAAGAATTGCTGCTAAAGGTGTGTAGGTGCTTAGGAACATGAAATTACACTGAAGAATCGATTCACTTTCAAAGTTCCCTGAATTGTAGTGCCCCAAGGACAGATTCCACCTGGCTCTAAGAACAGCCTTTCTCCCCCACCCCCCTTCACTCGTTAATTGTCTATGCTGGGAAGTGAGCAAAATGGCCAATGGCCGGGGACAGCAGAAATGTTACCTGTTCAGCACCTGGGACAGCACCTCGATGATTATTTGTTCCCTGAGTCAATCAGTGAAGGAACCCAAGCCCTGGCCTCACCAAGCTCACCGTCCGGGTGGGGCATGGGGCATGGGCTAGGACGTTATCTGAGGGGGCTCCCAGGGCTGGGCCCGACCAGCTGGCCTTCCCGTTGCTTCCCTCTCCGCTCTCTCACCATACCTTGCAGGAGGTGGTAGTCCTGGTAGATGTCCCCCCGTGGGGCCTCTCCCTGCAGAATGGGCAGTGGTCCCCAGGACCTGCCACAGTTGGACCCCTCCAGCCACCCCTCCATCAGGGTCAGCCTGGCCTTCAGCTTGGCAGCCTGGAGGAGTCAGGGAAAGAAGGGTATGTGAGGCTGGTGGCGGGGAAGTCCTGTCTGCACACCTCCCCCTGGCTTCTGCCTGGCCTTCCCTCCCCAACAGTTCCTTTCTCCCATCTTATCCTGGGCGTCAGAGGTGAGGACGCAGCAGAACTTCGAGAACCAGCCTTGTGTGCTCCTTCCTCCGAGCTGTCCCTTCCCTTCTCACACCCACAACACCTGCTGCCATTTAGCCGACCACATCTCTGTTCTACTCAGACAGGGATCTTCGAGAAGGGAAGGCCCAGGAGAATCCATCTGTCCTGTTATATTGCCACAGAGCAGGTGTGCATGGATACCTGCTGGCCGAGTAAGTGTGCCATGCAATGTGTCCTGGTGCTGTTCTTTTATTTATTTATTTATTTATTTATTTAGAGTTTACTTATTTATTTGAAAGAGAAACCACACAAGAAGGGGAAGGGGCAGAGGAAGATGGAGAAGCAGACTCCCCACTAAGGAGGAGCCCAATGTGAGGCTTGATCCCAGGATCCCAGGATTATGAACTGAGCTGAAGACAGATGCTTAACCAGCTGAGCCACCCAGGCACCCCCAGCGCTGTTCTTTAAATCACAGGTACAATAACTGCATTTACAGAGCACTTGCTAAGAGCCAGCCATTAGTGGCTGCTGGCCACATACCAGCTCATGTCCACCCTGTAACCACCTTAGGGCCAGGGGAAACAGGTCCTGAGCCCTCTCTCTGATTCAAAATCCAGAATGCTCTGAAATACCACAGGTTTTCCATTCCTTATTTGATGGCAAAATCTGGTTTAAAAAAATTTCTAAACTCACTGGGAAGCAAAACTGTTCTGAACAAGGCTGTTTGTGGCCCTTATTTATTTGATGTGACTATTCATCTGTTTTCCTGCAGACACATCACTGGGTGTGACTGCAAGGACTGGCCCAGGCACTGCTGGGGGGTAGCTTATGCTCAGCACCCATCATTATGTCTTTCTCAAGTAGCACCCCTCTGAAGGCTGGTCTCACCAGTCCCAGGTAAGGGGTTGCAGGCCTGTGTCCATTGTGGAATTAGGAGAGAGACACTGAAACTTACCAAAGCTGTTACCTGCTAATAGGGACAATTAATGGGGCTGGGGAGGGGAACCCCAGAGGTCACACTCCTGACCCCAGCACCACACCAGGTCCCCGCTCTCGAAATCCTATTTGTGCCCCAGGATGGGCACTGCCCTCCTTCTGACCGTCCCCACAGAGGACCATCTATGGTCACATCGCCACTGAACTTGAAAAAGTGTGAGACATGGGCCTGGGTGCCAGGGAAGGGCCACTTTTCTCCTGTTCACTCAGGAACCAGGGACGGGCAGAAGTGAGGCTTGAGCAGCTGGGTGGGCACAGGGGGAATGTGACCAGTGGCCCTAGAAAGCCTGAGAGCCATGGGTGAGTGGGCGTTTCCTGGGGGCCTGGATGGGCGGGCTCACCTCCTCCTTCACCAGGGAGTAGCAGGATGGGCACTCCTGACAGCGTGTGCCGCCAGCCGTGAGGAAGAAGTTGTCCTGACAGTGGTCACACTTGTAGCCTACGAAGCCGGGCCTGCACACGCACGTGCTGTTCTTGTGGCATTGGGCTGAGGCAGCACCCAACGGGGAGCACCTACAGGCTGAGGGAACCAGGGCAGGTGGCGCTGGGTGCCCTGATGGTCCCCCCACCCTCGGAACCCCCAGGTCCCCTGCATCCTCACACCTGACTGCTTCAGCCTTCCCCTAACCTCGCTGCCATGGCCAGTTCAATTCCACTCCTGGGTTCTTCCCGAGAGACCAATTCAGAAGGTCAGAGGTGACGCCTGACTTATTTCAGCATCCCTGGGTCTGAGAAGCAGTCAAGTTTTGGAACTGCCATGCAGTCCAGCTGTACGAATACAGATGCTGAGGCCCAGAGAGGTGAGAAACCATGGACCCAGCACAAAGGAACTTGGCAGTGGAGTCTGGGAGGAGACATTTGGTTCCCTAAGCTCTCTCTCACCCCACATTTCTATGGCTGCTCTTAGAAGATAGGCCTGCACCTGATCTTTCCATCTCCTACCACATGGCTGGCGTCCCCACTGCTTCTCTGCCTGGACATCTTGGGCCCCACCCTCTGGGTAGCCGGGGAGCACCTGGCTTCCTCACCCCGGCAGCCCTTGATGGAGAAGCCGAAGAAACCCAGCTGGCATCTGTCGCAGGCCTGGCCCTCAACACCCGGGCGACAGAGGCACTGCCCAGTCTTGGGGTGGCACTGGTCCTCCTGGGAGCCCAGCGGGTGACACTTGCAGCTATGATAAAGGAAGGAATCCAGGTCTGAAACAAGCTCTGGGCTGCTCCGAACCCAGCCTCTGCTGGCTGCAGCCGTCAAGGGGCCTCCAGATCACGTTCTCTGCCGAAGAGGCCCCTCCACGTGGGTACATGTCAAACAGCTCTCCCGGAGCTGTGTCCTGGGAAGCACAGTCTCACAAAATGCTACCCCCTCCTGTCCTCCAAAAGGCTATGGGGACACATAAATCTTGGAGATTACACCCCTCTGTTGGAAAGCCAAATGCAATTAGCATATTAAAGGCTCTGAGCGGTCTTGCAAGGAAGAAACCTGTTTGCTTCACTGGGTGTTTCCCTGGGGTCCTTCACTGTTCCCTAAAGACACTGTCTAAGGTGCCGCTGTGGACAAAAAGGTCAGTAAGCAACAGCGTCACTGAGCAGGGAATCAGAGACCAAACCGGCCTCCTGCCCACCCAGACATCCCTCAGGGCTGCTCTTGGCCTGCATCCTGGGCTGGCAGGGCCACTAGTCTGACTCCCCAAGGGATCATTCCTTTGTCCTCCTTTGGTGCAGGCCACTGTGTACCTGGCAGTGGGCCTGGGATGACACATTCTAGGCCAAGCCCCTCTCTGGAGGCTCCCTGGGACTTCTTCCACTCGGAGACACACCCAGGGAAGGAGCACCCACAGCCTCACCCCACCCACCTCCGGCAGCCCCTCCCAGGCTGGAGGTCATAGAAGCTGGGGCTGCAGCGGCCACAGTCCCGTCCCATCACATGAGGCAAGCAGGTACACTGGCCGGTCACTGGGTCGCAGGGTCTCTGCTCGCTGACTGAGCCCTCAGGGTGGCAGTTGCAGGCTGCGGATGGAAGCAGAAAACGGTGTTGAGGAATGATGCAGATCAACCTTTGGGGGTCCAGGAGAAGATGGGGAACCCATGGGGATGATTCACATTCAACCCAGACTCCTAAGCTTTTTCTGGAAAAAGGCTCAAGAGGCGGGCTCAAATCTCCCCCACTTTGTATGACCTTGGAGATTATAGCATAGAATCATCATGGGGGCAGATGGCTCTCCTGAGCCCGACCTGAACGCCCCACTGGCTGGAGAGAAGGCCAGAGACCTGGCCAGAAAGTCACGGGTGGACCCCTGTACTCACTGTTTTGGGTCACCTGACCCTGCTCTCCTAGGCCACATAAAAGGAGAGGCTGGCACAGTGCTGACAGGTGCCATGTGGAGAATGGACTCTGGAGCAAGTCAGCTTGGGGGAAACGCTGAGCTTCCCCCTCCAGCACTTCCGGAGGCCTTCCAGGGGCTGAGGTAGGCTGTGGCCCTCTGCGTGGGGACTGGAGACTGAGTGCTAACCCAGGCGGTGGAAAGGAACAGCCTGATGGTCACCCAGGGACAGTACAAATGTGATAGGTGCTGCCAGCCACAGAGGACAGTTGTAGATGCTGTGCAGCTGGAGGTAAGCACTAAATTATGAAGGCCAATCGATCAGTCACAGAATTGGAGCTGATTAGATCAAGGCTGAGAGAAACCTGACTTTGGAGAACAAACACACCCTCCAGACGAGGGGACAGAGGAGGTGAGGAACCAGCCTGAGGTTGCACAGCCCCAGCAGGCACCTCCCCTTGTCGCCACCGCGCCCCCCCCCACCGACCCCCGTGGGGCAGGAGGTGGGAACTCACGGGTGCATCTGTCTGCAGGCCGAGGGGCCAGGGCGCTCCCGTAGAAGCCATCCTGACAGCGCTCACAGTGGGCACCTGTTGTGTTGTGCAGGCAACGCAGGCAGTGGCCAGACTGGGAGTCACAGTTGCCCACAGCGTTGGGGTCCACGTTCCCACTGCACTGGCACCGCCGGCACGGCTCGGGAGCCCCAGAGATCCCCAGGGGATCCCCAAAGTAGCCATCATCACAGATCTCACAGCGCCGCCCTAGGTAAGGGAGAAGGCTGCGGGTGGAGGGGCAGGCCTGAGGCATGTGGCTGCCAGGTCCCCTGGGGGGATGGGCCAGCCTGAGCCAGAGCAATCATCTCTCGGCCTTCCTGTGGGCCATGGGGCTCCAGGGCCAGGGCCCAGCTCAGCCAGCAGCTGGCTGTGTGACCTTGGGTAATCCCCTGCATCTCTCTGAACTCAGGCTCCTTGTCTGCAAAGCGAGGACGATAATGGTAGCCCCCTCAGAGGACTGTGGAGGGGGCCTGGTGAGCTAAGTGCCCAGCAGCAGGGGCTGTCACCACTTCTTCACTGTCATCCCTCTCCTCAGCACCATGGCCACCATCGTCTTCCTCAGTGAGGCCCACAGGATGCTGGTGTGGTGAAGGTGGGGCTGGTGCCCATCTGGGCACCCCTCCCGTGGGGTTGCTGCCTCCATGCACCCTGCTCCCCCAAGATCCTCCCTCAGGCACATCTCGAGGACCAAACTTCTTGAACTATCCACACCCACTGGGTGGACTCCCCTCATGTCTGCAGGCCGGGGAAGCCAGAAAGTGTGGGGAAGTTTAGGGACAGAAGCACAGCATAATGGCAGGGTGGGGTGCAGGGTCCCCAGGGTGGGGGACCCTACTCTGCCGCTGGCTGTAGGGAGCTGCTTTCAGAATGCTCCCCAGCAGAGCAGGCATTTGACAGGACAACATGGGCTGTCCTGAGGCAGCCACAGTCACCAAACCTAAAATCAGATGTCTGAGAACATGATGTCTTGGCAACATGATGTAAGTGAAACAAGCCAGACACAGAAGGACAAACACTGGAGGATTCTACTGACATGAGATCTCTGAAAGCGTCAAATGCAGAGAAACAGGAAGTAGGACAGTCCTTGGGGCGGGGGGTGAGGGGTTGGGGAATGGGGAGACATGGCTGGAGAAGGGGGTGGGGGGTGTTTAATGGAGACAGACTTTCTGTTTGGGAGGTGAATATGTTCTGGAAATGAATGGTGGGGACAGGTACCCAACAGTGTGAATGTCTTTTTTTTTTTTTTTAAGATTTTATTTATTTATTCATGAAAGACACATAGAGAGGCAGAGACACAGGCAGAGGGAGAAGCAGGCTCTATGCAGGGAGCCGGACATGGGACTAGATCCCGGGTCTCCAGGATCACGCCCTGGGCCGAAGGCGGTGCTAAACCGCTGAGCCATCTGAGCTGCCCAATGCTTCTGAACTGTATGCTTAAAAATGGTTAAAATGACAAATTTAATGTTATTTTTTTGCCATAATTTTATTTTTTTATTATTTATTTATTTATTTTTAATTATTAAAGGAATATACCCCAAAACCCCACAAATCATCATTGAGTTGTATACTTTAAATGGGTGAACTGTAGGGTATGTGAATAATATCTCATAAGAGCTGTTAAGAAGAATCAGATGTCAGGATACCTAGGTGGCTCAGTGGTTTGAGTGTCTGCCTTTGATTCAGGTCATGATCCTGGGGTCTGGGATCAAGTCCCCATCTGGCTCCTTGCAGGGAGCATGCTTTCCCCTTCGCCTATGTCTCTGCCTCTCTTTCTGTGTCCCTCATGAATAAATAAAATCTTTAAAAAAAAAAAAAAAGGAAGAATCAGATGTCAAGGATGGCCCCTGGGTCCTGGAGTGGGGGCTGGGGGAGTTTCTGCCTCAGGTAACAACACGTGGCAGCATGTTTTCAAAGTTGAACGTTTGGGGATCCCTGGGTGGCGCAGCGGTTTAGCGCCTGCCTTTGGCCCAGGGCGCGATCCCGGAGACCCGGGATTGAGTCCCATGTTGGGCTCCCTGCACGGAGCCTGCTTCTCCCTCTGCCTATGTTTCTGCCTCTCTCTCTCTCTCTCTCTCTCTCTGTGTGTGTGACTACCATAAATAAATTTAAAACAATTAAACAAAACAAAACAAAAACAAAGTTGAACATTTAATCAGGGGTCTTCCACCTTAACTGTGTATCAGAATTAGAGCACTTCTCATGCATTTAGATTCTTAGGGTCCATCTTGAGCTACTAAATCAGGCTCCATGGGGCCAGGGCCCAGATGGGGATTTTCAAAGCTCTCCTGGATATGCTCAATGGTTCAAGTTCTGCCCAGAGAACCCACAGCAGCCTGGGGCCCTGGCCAAGTTCTGAGAGGTCAGGCTTGCCACTCCTAAGCAGGGCCCTGCCCCATTTGTCACACTCCAAACCCAGAATTCCGCTGCTAGAGCCCAGGGCAGAGGCAGGGCCCCAGGGCACTAGCCACTCACCTCTCTGGCCGAGGGGGCAGTGGGTACACACCACGTCGCTGCTCTCTGGGATGGCTGTGCAGGCCGACTGTCCAGGGCATGGACAGGGCTGGCAGTCATCAGGTTGGCCTGCGAAGGGGTTGCCATAGAAACCTGGCAAGCAGCGCTCACAGGATGGACCCTCCGTGTGGTGGCCGCACAGGCAGATCCCTAAGAGCCAAGAGAAGCACCTGGTTACAGCTGTCTGAGCCCAGAATGCTCCAGTGATGAGGGTATCTTGGTGGAGAGGTCACAAAACATATCCCCAGTGGGGCAGAGGTGGGAATCTGCCGAGGTGGAGAGGCAGCAAGGCCTGTGGATAACAATTATGAAGCTAGGAAAGCACCCTGTGCCTCAGTGTCCCCACTTGTGAGATGGACACAACTGGGGCTCTGACCTCAAGGGCTTTGGTCAGTAGGCAGCAGGACCATGCAGCCCGAGGTCCCTGGCACACAGGGACTGTGTTTTGTATTCCAAAGCTTGTCAGCAAACCAACAGATGGCACATCCGTGTTTGTACTCATGGTTTTCTGGACCATTCCTCTGTGTCCTCTTAACCTCAGAGGCCAAAAGCAAGAGTGATGCAGACCCACGATTGTTCCTGACCTGAGTTTGCAAGAAGCTCCCTACGTATGCAGTCTGCAGGGGCCCAGAGGCTGCCTGGTCTCATAGAATGGTCCCTGGCCCCCACACCAGTGGGGGGCCATGAGATACCATCTCATGCTGAGAGGTCTGCAAACCCCCATCTCCAGCACCTAGAGTCCACTCAGAGCTGCTGCCATGGGGAACGAAAGCACCACTCCCAGCCACTGAGGGAGGAACCTGGCTGAGAAGGGCTCACGACACAAGACCACCACTTCCTGGAGGCCCAGCAGCACCCAGGCAGGTGGGGGGCAGGGAATGGGAAATAGAGGGAATCCAGGGCAGACAAGTGGGACAGTGGGGATGATCACGCCTGTGCTGCTTTCTGCTGGTCCCTGCCTTGGCCCAGACCCACACATGCACTCTTTCCGGTGTGAGCAGCAGCGGCCACTCTGCCCATCAGACAGATGAGGACTTGCCCAAACAGAGCAGGGAGTCATGGTGCAGCCAAGGGCTCTGAGGGGTCATGGTCTGCTCCTGCGTCATGCATCCTACAGCAGCACAGGCAGGATTATGAGGCCTCATCCAGGCTCGGTTAGTGATGCCCACCACGGCAAAAGCGGGGAGGAGGGCACTGATGTAGTTAGTGTGTGCCTGTGCCCCCCTGGCTAGCTGGCTGAGTTGCAGGCTGCTGTCCTTTGTCAGCATCAGTGTGGAGCCCAGAGAAAGCTGAGCAGGCATTTCTCTTCTCAGGGATCCCACCTGCTCCAGGTGGGCAGCAGGGCACTTCCAGGGTGGAGACAGGCCTCCATTCAGCCCCATCCAGCCCCTCCTGCCTAGTGACCTTGGTCAAGGGCTCTATCTGCTACAAGTGGGCATGAACAGCTGGTAGTAACCTTGTGGCAGGAGCAGCTCTGCAACCTACTTGCCGTGTGGCTTCCCTATAAGGTGGGACGGTACCTGCAGGAGTCCATGATATAGTGGACAGAAAGGTAGCTAGCATGTAGGGGAACCTGATGACACTCTCTTATGAGGTTCATGCTCAGTGATCTCTCGCACACACACGCAGCTGATCCCATTCAGGTCAGTATTCATCAGCTGCTGGGTATAGCCTACATGGCTTTTGGTTGGGGTGCCAGGACTCACCTGTGTGGGGGTCACAGGTGCCATGCTTGTTGCAGGTGCAGGGGACACAATTGGTGTAGGGACCCCCCAGTGGTATCTCCCTCTTGTATCCTGGAGCACAGGATTCACAGAACTGGCCTGTGTACCCCTTGGGACATGAGCAGGTCTCCACCCAGGAGGCTGTGGGGGAGACCCCCCGCTGGGCCGATGTGAGCCGAACCTCAGTCAGGAACACCTGGCCTGCAGAACGAGGACAGAGAGGAAGAGAGTTATAGCCACACAGTTCACTCCAAGACCTTCCTATTCACATATGTAACAGGCAAAGCGTTATTGGCCCACATATAAAAAGGTAGTGTTTGAGTCAATTATGATTTAAAAAAAAAAAGGAGAAAGGGAAAATAAGGTAATTTTCAGAACAAAAAATGGATATGGCTGGGAATGTTATGGAAAGATGTTCATTCTCATGGGCTATGAAAGATATATAAATTTAAGCAAGGAGGATACCATTCACGAGCCTCACATAGGTAAGCATTTAAAGATCAATGACAGGAGAGGTGCCTGGGTGGCTCAGGTCATGATCTCAGGGTTCTGGGATTGAGCCCCACACTGAGCTCTGCATCAGGGCCCACACTCAGTGGGGAGTCTGGGGAGTCTGCTTTTCCCTTTCCCTCTGACCCTCCCCTGCTCATGCGCTCTCTTGCTCTCTCTCTCAAAGTAAATAAATAAAATCTTTAAAAATAAATAAAAGGGCCCCTGGGTGGCTCAGTCGGATAAGCATCTGCCTTTGGCTCAGGTCATGAGCCCGGGTCCTGGGATTGAGCCCTGTGTCAGTCTTCCTGCTCAGCGGGCAGTCTGCGTCTCCCTCTGCCTCTGCCTATTGCTCTCCCTGTTTGTGTTTTCTCTTGGTCTCTGTCTGCCAAATAAATAAACAAAATCTTTTAAAATAAATAAGTGACAGGGAAAGATGGTGTGAGGAAAGCATGCACAGGGCTATGGGACTATACATTGGGGGGGGGGTCTGTTTCTACTGATGCTGGGGAGCCCCAATCAGACCAACCTTTCCCCCGAAAATAACTAGAAACTCAGGGCAAAATATAACAATGATTCATAAGCCCCGGAGAACAGCCAGAGCAGGTAGGCAGTGGAGGAGGATGAACACAGAGGCCCTGAGAACACAGACTGGTATAGCCTTTCAGCACGAAAATCTGGCAGCAGGTATTAACACTTAAAATATGCACCCTTTGACCTAACACCGAACATTTCCATTTTGAGAAATTGATGCTAAAGAAAGACTTGCACAAGGAGACAAAGCCTTTTCTATGGAGCTATTCTCTGAAGCACTGTTTTCAAAGTGAAAAACCAGAAACCATTTCCCAGTCTATGAATAGGGTGATGGTCAAAACTTTAGGGAGCATCTATACCAGGGAATGATTTATGGCAGATGGCCAGACAGCCTTTTTTATGTGCAAGACAAGGAAATGGCCTCCAAGACACACTGTTAGCTGAAAATAAAGCAAGCGCATGGAGAGATAGGGCCCAGAACATCATCGTTGGGAAGAGGTCAGGGACTGGGGGGAAGAGACATGATCAGTATGTCTACCTGCCTCTCCAATCACCCCAGCACCCAGCGTAGACCTGGCCTAAGTAGGTGCTTCATGGACATCTGTGAAATGAAGGCTGAGTGAGTGGCAAAAAGAAGTGCTGGAAGCCTCTGGAAAGAACAGAAATGAAATTCCTGTGAGGAGGCTCAGCAGGGTGACCTGGTGAGCAGGGAGGCTTTGGGGGGCATGGGCAAGGACGATGGGGATGAGGCTCCAAAATGAAAGAGGGAACTGGGGCAGGAGGGCTAGGTGACAATCCCCAAGTATGGGCTTGAAGGGCCCTGGGAAAGCTGGCCATTGGAGTCAAGGGTTCTCAGAAGGGGCCAATCACCCCCCTAGAGGCCAATCTGGGGCTGTTCTGGTCACCACAACAATAGGGAGACAAGATCCAGGGCTACCAGACAGCCCGACATGAGCAGAAACTGCCCCTATGATTTCACATGTCTTGCTGGATGCCGAAAGGGGCAGAGAAGCCCCTCTGCAAATGTGAGCCCAGACCCCAACTCTATTTTACACATAAGCACAAGGCATGTTTGAATGTTCAGGTACACGTGGAATTGTCTAGCAATGCACATACCGTGAATGTGGAGGGAACGCCATGCTTTGTGCTGCTCAGAATATTCCTGATAGTCATGTACCACTTCGGAGCATCGCCTCACTAGTGCCTCCTCCCCTACCAGCTCTCAGACTTTGTCAGCAGCGTGCACCCTGTCCCTGGTACGGACCCCTCTGTATCTGCCCCAATCACAGATATCTGGCAAATATTCCCATTTGCTGATGATTTCAAGACGCCGCACATAAAGGGTTTAAGTTAAGGGACAAAGGTTAATCATATTCAGATGGATGCTCAAAACGTGGTTTTACAGCTTCACCCACAAATGGGTGGTTACTCAGCCAAGGCATTTTGCTCCCCTAACGAAGCAACAAAACCACTGAGGCTGAGGAAGCCTTTTGACAGACCCCCCCCCACTCACCATCTCCTTGCCACCTGCGACCAGGCACACCAGCAGCTCCTGGCCCTGCCATCTCCATCTGTGGGTGCCCCACTGGACGCTCCTCATGGAAGTCTGCCTGGGGACTGCACATCCTGACCCTGGTTTTTATTCTAGCATTAGTCACGCATGCCTCTGCCTTAGAACTTCCCTGCTCTCCGTGTACACACATGGCTCCCGAGCTTCAGATTCTCTGCGAAACCCACACTTACTCATCACAGTGGGGACACTGTGATTATCTCTTTCTGTTGTCCAGTGTGGTCGTGGACACATGGACACCTGTCGAACACCCGACACTTTGGAAATCAGAGATCACTTTTGTGTGTCATTTACTTGCCTTTTATTCACTCTGTATGTTACCATTAAGATTCCAGATTGGTTTTAAAATCTTGTGTCTAGGTAGGTTATAATATCTACACATTTCCCTCCCAGATAGTAAAGGGGTGTTCTATGCGAAATAGCTCTTCTAACAGGGGGCACCAAACATGTCTAGTCTACAGGACGGGGTGGAGGGGCAGGGGGGCAGGGGGAGAGAAGGAGAAGGTACATTAAGGAGAAAGAGGGGAACCAGGACAGGTCAGAGGACCATCAGGACACTCACTATGTGACCAGGGTGAGAAATCCCCCTGGAAGCTGGGTCCCATCCAGCAGCCTCCCTGAGGTTTAGAAACCAGATAGGCATTCAGGGTGGCTGAGGCGCGATTCCACCAATGCCCAGCAGGAGAAGCCAACTCTGAGATCCTCCCCGGGACCCTTGAGACACCACACCCTGCACCCACTGAGGACCCTCAAAGTTCCCCCTTCTGGCAACGGTGGACTCGGCCATGGCCTGACAACATCCAACTGTTCCTGACTGCTTTGTGGCCACACATCTTAGTGCTGTCCACCCTTGGGCCCCTCACCTGTCCTCAGGGTCCACCCTCCCAGCCCTTATCAGTTAGATGACCTTTGGCAAAGTGTCCCCTGACCTTCAGAGGTCTTTGTGGTAAAACAGGGGTGGACGTAGCTGTCTGTTCTGAGGACTCAGCAAGGCTATGCCCAAGGATGCCCTGGGGCCCAGCTGGCTCTGCTGACAGGGGAGCTCCTTATCATTACTGACCGGAAGGGCTTGGGCTCTGGCCACTGGTCCTGATGCGCAGAGCCGTCAGATTGGTGAGCAGCCGCTGGAAGTGGAAGGGAGGCAGGGGAGGGTCCACATCTTCGGAGGTCTCCTGCAGCCTGGCAGGGGAGGGAGTCAAACCGGAACTCGAGGCTGGGGGCAGCTGGTGCCAAGAAGCCACCAGCAGGGGTGGAGAGGGCAGGAGGCCCTGGACCGCAGGACAATCCAAGCATGCCCTGACCTCAGGGACCACTCTGACCACCCAGCCCCACCTCCCCAGACACAGGGAGATACTTACTCGAACCTGAGCTGTAGTTCCCCAGGCTGCTCGGCATCCAGGGAGCTGGAGAGGCTGGAGTGCTGCAGAGTCAGGGCCAGGCCAGCCCCTTCCAGCCTCAGCTGCACAGGAAGTGGGGAGGCCCCAGGGGGCACCAAGAAGGTCAGGGTGAGGGGCTGTCCATAGCTGAACCGCTGATCTCCCAGGAACTTCTCTGAAGACAAGAGAGGAAGGCTTGTCTTCACTTTATTAGCTTAATTCTGAAGATTTTAAGTGTCTCCAGTATGTTGATTTTATCGGCAATGAAACATTCAAACAAGTTAAAACGGGAGCAAGGAGAAAGCTACGGGCTCCCTGCACAGCAGATGCAGAGGTGGAAACCCCACCAACCCCTGCAGGCCAGCTTAGTGGGCTGTGATCCCGCAGTGACACAGGGCCCCCGCCTGGCTCGCTGCTCTGCTGTCACTGTCTGAAGTTGGGGTCTGATGAGTAAAGTCTGATGGGACAGTGGAATCTATGGGAGCAGAGCAGATGCATGTGGCCACCCCCTCACAAGCCGAGCTCACGATACCCCACAAGCAGATTCTGGTGACCCCACACGTGTGGGAGCTTAGTGAGGCTCAGAGCAGGTTCAAGGCAAGCCTGCTGCTGTATGTGTGGTGAAGCAGGGGCGCCAACCAGCCCAAGGCCACGCTCTCCTCTGGAGTCAGAAGATGCTTTGAGCAGAAAGAAGGCAGTGGCACTCTAAGAACACAGAGGACCCAGGGGCCCTATCACAGCCTTCGAACTCAGACTTTTCCTCTCTTCCAACTGCTTCAGCTGAAAATCTGCCACGTGGCAGCAAAAGGCCCAGCAGGACCCCCGACCCCCCCATCTCCCTCCAGCCTTGGCACTCAGGAGTCAGTTGGAGGTGGAATGTGTTGGCAGATCGGGTGCATATCAAGAAGTGAAATAAAAATGGTTGAGTCCATCCAGCTGCCTTGCTCACCTGCCATGGCATGCACAGGACCCAGCTAGCACTTCTTGAGTGAATAACTTTTTCTTAAACGTGTCAACAAAAAATAAAATAAATAAAATAAAATAAAATAACATAAAATAAAATAAAATAAAATAAAAATAAAATAAAAATAAACGTATCAACAAAGCAGACACGGCATAGTGTGTGTTTCGTGCTCTTGGGCCTCTGAGCTAGGAGCACCTGCCCCAAGATGGGGTCTCAGGACCCCTGTGACTTGTGCTTCCTGCCTGGGTGCTGTGTCTACATAGCAACCCTGATGTCTGTGCACCATTGCTCTGGCCCTCCTTGGAGATTGAGGTCAAAGGGAGGACTGGGCTGGGGGAGCCAGTGGATCCGGAGTCTGGCCACAGGAAAGCTAAGAATGGACTCCTGGATCCTGGTTCCAGATCTGGTGCAGTTTCCAAGAGACCAAAGTTGCCCTACTAAAGGGGGAGTGGTGGTCAGAATAATCTAGAACTTCTTGCTTCTGCAGGAACCCCAGGCCTCTGGGAGGAGGGTGCAGTGCCCTCGTAAGATGAGAAACTGATGGGAAATGTACTGGGATATTTGGGGACCTCTAGGATCCCAGTGGGAAGGCCTGGATCATAAAATGAGGGGGGGGGCTCTAGTAGACCCCACAGGGTGTGCAGTTGGCAGAAAAATGGGTCCCAAAGGTATCCATGTCCTGATCCAAGAAATCTGTGAATATGGTATGTTGCATGGCAGGGGCAATTAAGGTTGCAGATGGGATGAAGGCCGTTCATCAGCTGATCTTAGAGAGTATCCTGGATTATCCACCTGGGCCCATGGTCATCACAGAGTCCTTAATGCACGGAAGAGGAAGGCAGAAGACCTGGTGTCACCGTGCTGTAACAGGGAGAGACCCGACAGCTCTGAAGACAGAGGAGGGGTCACCAGCTGAGGGGAGTGAGCGGACCCCAGAAGGTGGAGAAGGCAAGGGAATGGATTCTCCCGTGAAGCCCCAGGAGTGCATGCTGGGATCTTAGCCCCCTCGAGACCCAGTTCAGATTTCCGGCCTCCAGGACACGGAGAGAATAAATCTGCATTGGTTTTAGCCACTAGCTTGGTGGTAATTTGTCATAGCAGGAAATGAACAGGGGCAGTCCTGCCCCTGCCTGTGGTCAGCAGGTACCTGGTAGCGTGAGCTCCTCCTCATCTTCGGGATTCAGGAGGAGCCCCCTTGGGCCCCATTGTGCAGGATGTTCTGGGCCCCCCACACTTCCGGTCCGCCAGCCCTTGGCTCCTGGACAGCAAACACACACGCCAGTGTGAGGCTCTGGAGGGCGGCCTCCACCTCTTCCTACTTCATAGCCTTCCCAGGGTCCCACGGATGGCCCCCAGAGGCCTGAGCACAGCCTGAAACAACTCCCTTAGGCCCAGGAAGGGGAGAGATCATTCTAGAGACAGGGAGGGGTTGGGGGGCGGTGAATGCCAGATAGTGCTAGCTAGCTAGTGTCTGCCCACAGCCAGACAGCTCAGAATCCCCCAACCGCAGGGTCAGGGTAGGGGTTTAGGATGGGAGGTAACCCCAGGAGAAGTTAGAAAGCTCAGGGTGCTGGCTGTTTAGGGCAAGGTCAGATCTCTGGGCCTGCCTTGCCCCTTTGGTGGGCTCTGAATACAACATGACAGTCTGGAGACCCCAGTATGGGGCACTGGGCCATCAGGGCCATCTCTAACCAGACTGGGCCTGACCTCATCTAGAGGTCTTCATAGAACTTCCTCACCCATGACCTCACCACTTCTGTCTTTCAGGTGTATGTGTCGTTAGCCACTGTACTCAGGGAGGCCACCTGGTTAGGAAGCAGTCAAGCCGGGATGAGACCCAGACCTTCCCTCCCCAGTCCTGTCCACCCTCCCTCTGGTGATAGCAGTACACCAAACACAGCCTGGCAAGGAGCAAATGACTTGGAGGAAGTGGCTGGGAAGGGGTTTGGAGGCCTAATCCCTGCAGCACTGGAGGGGTGAGGTGGGAGGGATGAAGAGATCAGAGAGAGGAGGTCTGCGGCTCCCCGGTGCTAGACTAGCTTCTGGGGCAAATGACTTCACCTCTCTAAGCCAGTTCCTTATCTGCAAAATGGGGAGAATGAAGTACTTATGGCCCTGGCAACAGTTCTCAAAGTTGGTCTGAATACCCGGGATGATTCTTGAGATTCTTTCAGGGGCCCACGAGGCCAGGCTGTCTTCTCAGGAACACTGAGATAAAGTTTGCATCTTTCATGCTGTGTCTTACCCACAAATGGGTAGAATTTTCCAGAAACTGCAAGTCACGTGCTATCACAACAGACGGAACTCTACTAATCCAACCGTAAAGAGATGTGCAAACATATACCAGCACACTCCCCTCTTTTTGTCTTTTTAAAAAAGAGCTAAGCTATTTTTTCACAGGCTGATATTTTATGTTATACATCTACTATGGTCATTTTTAAGTGAATTACTATATATCTATTTTTAAATTACTGTTTTCACCTTGTTTTTTTAGTTTTTTTAAAAGATTTCATTTATTCGTGAGAGACACAGAGAGAGAGAGAGGCAGAGACACTGGCAGAGGGAGAAGCAGGCTCCACGCAGGGAGCCCGATGTGGAACTCGATCCCGGGACTCCAGGATCTTGCCCTGGGCCTAAGGCAGGGGCTAAACTGCTGAGCCACCCAGGGATCCCATTTTCACTTTGAATACAGGAAAATACCCATACAAACTAGCCACATAAAGAAAAGTGCTGGGCAGCCCCAGAAGCGCAGCGGTTTAGCGGTATTGTTATTTTTTTTAATAATATATTTATTTTTTATTGGTGTTCAATTTACCAACATACAGAATAACACCCAGTGCTCATCCCGTCAAGTGCCCCCCTCAGTGCCCGTTACCCATTCACCCCCACCCCCCGCCCTCCTCCCCTTCCATCACCCCTAGTTCGTTTCCCAGAGTTAGGAGTCTTTATATTCTGTCTCCCTTTCTGATATTTCCCACACACATTGTTCTTAGATCTATAAAATGTGACGCGTCTGCTGCTAACATCCGAGACCCCACCAAGCGACCTCAAGGCTGAACCCCCTGTTCTGTCCTGCCTGCTGCACAGCGTCCAGCAGAGGGCGCACTGCCCCCATATCTGGCACACCCCAGAGCAGGCGCTGGAAGCTTCCAGCCCAGCTGATACCTTGCTCCCAGCCTGGCAGAGATGCAGGGGTGGGAGGACTCCGTGGGGGCACAGCAAGGGGCCTCGCAGGCTGTGATCTAACTCAGAGCTCCACTGCCCCTCCCGCTCCAAAGATGCGTGTGACACCCAGGGCATCGGGGCATCCCTGGACCCTGCCCCCAGACAGAAGGCCAGCACAGCAGCTCAGAGCAAAACTCAGGAGCGGTTTGTCAAAACCTGGGTGCCAATCACTAAATCCTGTGACATACCTTTTCTGGGCCTCAGCTGTCTCCTCTGTAAAATAGGAATGAGAGCACCTACCTTCCAAGGACTCTGTGGGTTCCATGCATGGAGAGAGCTCAGCACAGTGCCTGGCACACAGCAAGTGCTCAATAAGTGGGAGTCCAGGGGATTGAGCCTGAATCCCCAGCACGAGGATGCACCAAGGGAGGCCAATCTTGACAAACTGATTAGAAACTCCCCGATAGGATCTAAAAGTTCCCAACACTGCTGGAGCCCTTAGTCAAAAGGCAGGGGCCAGGGAGGGAGCCAAGAGTTGCAGGTAGGTATTGGGGAGCACTCACAGGTGCAGAGAGGCACATCTTGCATGGCCTGTGTGTGGAGGGAGACGCCTCCCCTGCAGCCTGGGGCTGCCCCCTCTTCCCACCTCCCACCTCCGCCCCTGCAGGATCTCCCCAGAGTGGGAGAGCCTGCCCAACCTGGGCCAGGGGCAGACCCTGGGAGGCGCTTCTTACCCTGGCGGAGGTCAGAGATGATATGGTGCTCCCGAAACTGGGAAGCGGCCTCACACACCTTGGAGTGGCCATAGCAGAAGCAGCTGGTGCAGCCGGCTGGGTTGTGTGGCTGCAGGTTGAATGTTCCTGGACGACATCTGAAAGGACAACATTCGCCCGGGGGGTGGGGAGGGCAGTTGGCAAATGAGTCAGGGAGGTTCAGGAGATCCCAGCTAGACTGATGGGAGTCAGAATCAACTGGAGGAAGTGGCTGGGAAGAAGATTTTTTTCCCCCCAGATTTACAAGAGTTGCAAATATCACACAGAGAATTCCTGTGGCCTCTTCACCAGCTTTCCTTAATGCCAACACCCAACATCACGGCGCCCTTCACCACGCCACAAAATTCACATTAGTCAATGTTATTTACTAAACTGCAGACTTTATTAGGATTTCTGCCCTTTTTGCACCAATGTCAGTTTTCTGGCCTGGATCCAATCCAGGACCAAGGCACCTCCTCGAGTCTATGCTGATATTCTTGTCATTCACGACCTTGACGCCTTTGAAGGCTCTCGGTCCAATCAGATATTTTGTAGAATGCCCCTCAATTTGGGTTTCTCTGATGCTGTCTCATGATTGGACTGGGGCCATGGGTTTGGGGAAGAAATAGAAATGTCCCTCTTGTCACATCACATTGGGGTAAATGACACCCGTGTGACACCAGGAGTGCTAACCTTCACAACCAGATCAGGTTGCTGCCTGTCACTGCAAAACTGCCATATTTTTGCAGTCAGAGGGAAGCCAGTAAATGCAGCGAGCAGCGCAAAGGAGTTAAACCCCGTCCCCTGGAGAGCGGGGTGTTAAAGACTTGCGGGTACAAGCTGAGACCACCGCAGTGATTACCAAATATTTTACAAGGGAGGTATTTGGGGCTACGCAAATATCCTTTTTCTCCTTAAAATTCTCCCCACTAAATTAGGTGGCTCTTGCCCACAGCGACTGTTGCTGTGAAATTTGAACTGACTTTGTATTTACCCCGTTCCTTCTACATTTATTATTTGGGATTCTCTTGCCAGGAAGATTTGTCCCTTTGTCCTGGTGTATTTATTTTTTCCCTTCATCTGTGTATATCAGCGTGGACTCACGGATATTTATTTTATTCTTTGTGTTATAATCCAATACTATCATTATTTATTTTGTTGTTCAAATTGTTCTAGCATTGGGAGCTCTTTTGGGTTCGGGCTTGTGTCTTTTTTTTTTTTTTAAGATTTTATTTATTTATTCATGAGAGACATCCACAGAGAGAGAGAGAGAGAGAGAGGCAGAGACATAGGCAGAGGGAGAAGAAGCAGGCTCCATGCAGGGAGCCTGACATGGGACTTGATCCCAGGTCTCCAGGATCACACCCTGGGCTAAAGGCAGCGCTAAACTGCTGAGCCACCCGGGCTGCCCCGGGCTTGTGTCTTTTTGACACAGGCCCCCACCCTGGTTTAGAGGCTTTTTTCTTGTTTGTTTTTAATTAAGCACTTCCTTGCTCTCTGTTAGTACCAGACAGACACTCTGGGCTTGTCTGGCATGTGCCCTGCCCTAGGCCTGGAATCAGCCCTTCCTCCAAGGAGCCTTGGAGAAACATGGCACAGACTCCTGGACTGCACCCCGGGCATTCTGTTTGAGTCAGCCAAGGCAGAGGTATCCGATTCATAAGGAGCTGTCGATGGCCACGATGCCCAGGCAGCTGTGAGGAACACATCTCAGCAAGTAGCCCCATTTCACAAGCAGGCAAAGTGAGGCTCAGAGGGAGGACTGCCTCAAGGCATAAGGCAGTGGGGGCAGAACTGTGGGAAAACCCAGATGGGGTCCACTTCCCCAACTCCACTCTGCTTCCTCACCTGAGGGAGGGTCCCCAGCAGGGAGCCCAGCTCCCACCTCAGGTCACAAGTGGGCAAGGTGAGGGGGCAGCCCAGCGCTGACCAAGGCAAGTCAAGGTCAGGGCCAGCCACCGGTTTGGTACTGGCTACTTCCTGAGCCACTAGAGGCCCAGGGCAGACTGATAAGACTCGAGTCCACTATATGATGCTGAGTCAGGTGATGCTCCACTAGTGCTGTCTGCACCAGGTGTGAGTGGGGAGGGCTGCAGTGGTGCTCCACTAGTGATGTCTGCCTGGGTGTGAGCAGGGAGGGCTGTGGTAGGAGTACCAGATATTTGCTATCCCTGGATTAGATCACCTCTCCTATCCTTTCCAGCTCTTTCTTTTTAAAATGTAAAAGAAAATGGCTATCACAGCATAACCATCAGCAGTAGGAGGTCAAAGTATAAACAGGGTCGAGGCTCCTGGGTGGCGCAGCCAGGTAAGCATCTGACTCTTGGTTTTGGTTCAGGTGGTGATCTCAGGGTTGTGAGACAACCCCACATCAGGCTCCCTGCTGAGCATAGAGTCTGCTTCAGATTCTCTCTTCCTCTCCCTCTGAGGGAGTGGGAGAAGCAGACTCCCCACTGAGCAGGGAGCCCAATGCAGGATTCAATCCCAGGACCCCGGCGTCATGACCTGAACCAAAGGCAGACGCTTAACCGACTGAGCCACTGAGGTGCCCTCAGTGTCAAAACCTTTAGGTAACTTCCAGGATGGCAGACCCATGCTGCTCCAGGAAGGATGCCAGGTCCATAGGGACCATGTCCCTGCTCCTCCACCACAAGCCCTGAAAAGTCACTCCCAGCAAGCTGATCATCAAATCGGCTCACCCACCTGTCACACACATGGCCTTCCACATTCTCTTTGCAGGGGCAGCGTCCACTGTGGGGGTCACAGGTGCCCAGGCTGCCAGCATGACTACAGGAACAGGGTCTGCCAATGAGACAGGACAGTAGGAAAGGTGTCTAATAAGCAACTCCAGACTGAAGACAGCCCATCCTCCCTTGAAAGGAACTTCTCTATCCTTCCCCATTCCCTAGACAACCAGGAGGCAGTCTGACCCAAGAGCTTGCTGCCTGGCTTGTACTGTTCCCACCTTGGTGAGGAAGTGACCCGTCCACTCACCTGAAAAGTGATCCATCTGTCAACCCACCCACTCACCCATCTGTGCATTTTTCCAACCACCTATCTATTTATCCATCCTTCCAGCCTCTATCCATTGACCCACCCACCCACCTATCCACTCACCCACCCATGCATCTTCCCATCCAACCATCCATCCATCCATCCACACATCCATCTTCCCATCCACCTACCCATCCATCCACCTATCCATCTATCCATCCATCAACCATCCAACAAGACCATGGTTCCTGCCCTCACAGAGCCTAGAGTCCAGTGAAGAAGGACAATGACCAGTAAACAAGTAAGTACTGTACTTTGAGATGTTCCTAAGAGGAAGTATGAGAGGCTGTAGGTACACCAAGGAGGTGCTTAGGATGGGGACCGGAGGACAGGTAGAGAGAAGACTTCCTGGGAGACTGGTACCTCAGCTAAGAGCTGTAGAGAGTGTAAGGGTTTGCTAGACCCAGGCTGGGGAGAGGCAGGGGGCTGGGGAGAGAAGAATACTCTGGGGTAGGAGCATGTGCAAAAGCCCGGAGGCCAGAGAAACCCTGGGGAAGCATCTGAGTTCACACCTAATGTCCAGATGTGCCTAGAACCACTGAGTATTCCGTGAGGCATCCGAGACTCCCCATTCAACCCCAATGCATTTCCGCTACCTTTCAAATACACAAAGAGTTTGTTGTAACCAAAGCCAAGTTCATTTAAGAGTGTATGAGTTTCCAAGAGCTTTACTTTTTGGTCATGGGTGTTTCTCAGTCAAGGGATGCAGTTAGGCCAGCGTGTTAGACCCCCTCTTCTGAGGTCCAGACCCCAGCAGCCCCCTGCCCATCTCTCTGCCTGAATGCCCCACCAGCACTGCAAGACTCAGCCTCTCCCTAAACTATGCTCCCCGTGTCGTGTCATGACCAGCCTCCCTCCACCCAGGTGCCTGGTGGCTCAGCCTTCATCCCTTTTTCCTCCTCTGCTCCCTAGTGACCACCTCTGGCCAACTCTGCCTTCCAAGGGGCTCTGGAATTCGTCCAGCTCTCTGCCTCTCCATGGCCAAACCCAAGCACAAGCTGCCATGTCTCTCAGCTGTTCCTGCCACAGCCTCTACCCTGGCCTCCAGCCTCACATCTGTCCACAGCTCCACCTGAGACCTGTGAGGCCCTGTTGGACCCTCCTTCTCTGTACACCCTCCTGCCCTGCACTCCCCAGCCCGACTGCTCATCCATACTGACCTTTGCCTTTGCACTTGCCTCTGAGCCTTTGCATGTGCTCTTCCTCCACCTGGAACTCCTGTCCTTCTGCCCTCTCTCAGCAGCCCTTGCTTCTCAGGCCTCCCACTAGAACTCAGTGCCTCTCACTGGAAGCCTGCCCTGGACCCCCAAGACCAGCAGGGCTTCCATGGGACTCATGCCCTGTCTCACATTCCCCAGGGACTGGTGTCTCTAGCGCTTAAATGAGACTGGGGTGGCTGCAGAATGAGGAGAACAGCTACGTCCCCTTCCTCCTGTTCCCCGGCATTCCGTCCACACCTGCTGCCCCAGCCGCCTTACCTGCAGCCTCCCTCACTGAGTGAGTAGAACCCAGGCAGGCAGCGGTCACACTTCCATCCCGTCACGGTGGGCTTACAGATGCAGGTACCTGAGGCATCACACTGGAGGCGCAGGGAGCCTGGGGGAGGAAGGGCAGAGGGCAGTAGGGGCCCGATCGGGGCCGGGTGGGCGGGCACGAGGCAGCGGGGCCCAATACCTGCCGGGTGGCAGTCACAGGGCTGGCAGGGCGTCCGTGGGCTCCAGCGATAGAAGTGCTCTCGGCAGCGCTCGCAGTGCGGCCCAGCCGTGTGGTCCCGGCAGCGGAGGCAGCGCCCACCGTGCCCCGTGCTGCGGAAGAGCTCCCGGTCGAACACACACTCCTCGGAGTGGCCGCTGCAGTTGCAGGCTGCGGGCAGGAGGCAGGGGGCTGCGCGTGAGGGGCTGTGGCACGGCAGGAGGGGGTCTGTGCCCACCCGCCTCCTTGTGATGGGGGAGCAGGCAGTCCCAGGAAGGCCAAGGATGAAGTGCAGGTCCAGCTCGATCAAGGACATGGCAACCAGTTGGTTGCTCTTCCCCGACCATTGAGAGTAAAGGGAGCACCAAGACACAGGACCCTCCCAGGCAAGCCGGATGTACAGTGCACAGCTGGACACATGGCCCATGACCGGCCACCTTTTGCATCGCGGTGTGGCTCACTCCAAGACGTCTCATGGATCCTCTCAGCAATAGTAACTGCGTGGATCTGGCCCCTGGTGACCACGAGGTCATTCAGATGCATGGAAATACAGGTCATCCCTCCTTCAGGCATTAACTCATTAAAAAAAAGGAGTGTGTACTAAGGATGGCTCACCTCCCCTCCCGCGGTGAGCCCAGCGTGGGTGGGCTGGCGAGCAGCACTCACTGCACCACCCATTGTGTCATGGAGGCCAGCTGCAGCCAGCAAGTGAAAATCCTACAGGTGTAAAGCTGCAGGGAGTCTCTGGGAGCTGAAAGGAGGGACCCCACAGGCTGAAAGGAGTTGGCTAGGTGCGGGCGGGGAGGGTCCCAGGCAGGAGGATAATCTGTGGACAGCCAAAGAAGGTCTGCCCAGTGTCGGGGGCCAGGGCAGGCAAGCCGGCATGTCACACGATGGGTGGCATAACAGAACAATGACAGAACAGGGAGGGGTGCAGGCTCCGCTGGGAGGTCAAGAGGTTGGCAGAGCCTGATCCAGGAAGGCCAGGCAGCCACGGTCAATGGACTTCACCTTGGAGCAAGGCAGGCTTTGGGAGGGTTACAGGGGGCTGAGCATAACTATGCTTTTGCACTTTAACTAGGGCCTCAGGCTGTGGGGGGAGCAGGGCTGCAGGCTGGTAAGCAGGGAAGCCAGAGCTTCAGGCCTGGAGGAGGGGAACTAGGGCTGGCACCAAGGCATGACTCCCATGCCTTCCGGAGAAGGACGCAGGCAGGTGGGCTGGAGGGACAGGGATGAGGCCGAGCTCAGGGCTGCCCACCCAGGGGGGTGTCGAGGGCTCAGGTGCGAAGGCCTGGCTTCCAGGCTGGTGGCTGAGAGGATGAAGATGTGACCACTGGGCAAGGACAAGGCAGGAGAAGTGGTCTGGCCTTTTGTGAACCCACCAGGGAGACAGCCTCAGTCCCAGAATGGGTGAGCCAGCCAGTACATCTTCCTTGGCCCCAGGGGGGACTTCCTGATAGAGGCAGGCCAGTGAGGGTAACAGGAACCTGCGAGAGCCACAGTGGCCCTGGGAAGCTCCTGCAGACAGTGCCACCCTGTTCACAGAAGAGAGTCCCCTCCCCACCCAAGCCTGGGACTGCCCACCCAGAGGATAGCCAGCCCAGAACATGTTCCTCCTGCCTGGTGACGGCCAGCTACACACAAGAGAGCCTGAAGCAGTTCAGGTGATCATCTGGGGGACAGGGTAGGGCTTGGAGACCGTGGGAAGCTGGGGTGAGGGCTGGGGCGGACGTTAACAGACTGTCCCAACCACCCCACGTGCAGCCCCACGTCCCAGAGAAGGATGATGGCACCATCCCCCCAGCCCATCTCTGAGGTTAGGTGGTCAGAGCCACATCACAAGGGGACCAGGACATAAAAGGCTGCCTGGGGGGCCCTGGGAGAGGCTGGGTTGGCAGGTCAGCGCCCCCCAGGACCTGGGGCCTTCTGGCTTTGATTAGCAGCTGCGGTTGGAGCCGCTGAAACAAAGAACAGTGGGGGGGGGGGCAGGGGGGCTTCCCAGCAGTCCCACTGCAGTGGCCTCCACTAGGGGATTTGGTTTGGGGGAGCGTTTTGTAGGGGAAAGACTGAGGAACAAACAGCCCCTCCTGCTCTCACCCCAGCCCCTCCTCATCCCTGCAGGGACACAGGGGGTTAGTGTTGGGTGCAGCCCCCACTGCCAGGTCTCAGGGAGGCTGCTTCCCAGCCTGAGCCATGGCCTCCTCCGGTGCCCAAAGCCCCAGGACACTCACGCACACACTCGTTGGCGGCCTCGGCTGTGCCCCGGCCCCACGGGCGGTCCTGGAAGAAGGGCAGGCAGCGCTCGCAGTCTGTACCCGTGGTGTTGTGCTGGCACCGGCAGGCCAGCCGGCCTGCCCCATCGGGACTGCACTCACTGGCATGCCCGTTGCACTTGCATCTGGGGGAACATGGAAGAGGGGGTCCAGGAACTGGGGAAGGCACCGTCCAAGGAGTGGTTAATTCCAGGTGGCCCCTGATTCTATCGCTCAATGATGGGGAACATAGGGAACATAGCAAACCCCACTATGTGCCTCGCGGGGGTGTGGGCAATGGTAGCAGAGATCTGGCTGCACTGGGCTATTTGGAGCTCTGTGTGTGCGGACAGACCCCACTGCATCTCCACAAGCCGCCTAGCCTCCCCATTTCACAGATGAAGGAACTGAGGCACGCAGGTCGCCCCAGGCCACCAGTTAGGAATGGCAAAGCTGATGAGGCTGCTGCTGAAGGAGCCCTAGCCGAGAGGGCCCCAGAAAGAAGTCATCCCAGTCCCCTGGGTGGAAGGTGGGGCAGCTCACAGGTGGGGGGTGGAGGCAGGGGGCAGCCAGCCAGCTAACTCACACAGTCCTCCTTTGTGTCTATAGGGGCAAGAAAGAGGGTGGTCTTTAAGGAGGACAGCCCCCAACTCATCTCAGGTCCCCAGTGACTCTGTGCCTCTGGGACAACCCCCAGGGGCCAGACTGAGCTGCTTTAGGGACACCATGATCTCAGCTTCTAGCTTTCCTCTGTGCCACCCCTGACCCAGCTTATACCTCCTCTCTGCAGCCTCCCTGCTGCGGCAGGAGGGACCACACTCACCCCCATTTCACAGATGAGGAAATGGAGGTTCAGGCCCCGAAAGGACAGGTGCTAAGTGGTAGAGCTAGAATTTGCACCCTGTTCTGCTCCACGCAGACCCCATGCTCCCAGACACTACCCTCTGGTCACCTGGTGGCTCCCATAAGCTGCATTCTATGCTCCGCCCTCAGCTGGCATTAAGAAACTGCTGACCACTGCCAGTGCCCCCGGTGTTTACTCTGGGGACACGGCTTGGGAAGGGCACAGGGCATTGTTTCCTCCACAGGAGCCCCAGGGAAGCAGGTAATGCCCTAGCATTTCTGGTAGAAGCTGAGGTGGACACCCAGCAGTCTCAAGAGACAGGCACCACCCATGTTTCCGAGGAGGTCTGCAAACACCACCCTCCCCCGTGAAGCCCTCCGACCCCTAGGGAAGGAAGGAAATTCTTCTAGGCCATTGCGGGACTCAGGGCGCCGGCCCACCTGCCCCCCAGCCGGCTGCAGGCCCGAGGGTGGTCTGGCTGTGGCAGCTGGGGCCCAGATGTTCTCTGGCCCGAAGCCCCGGACAGGAGGAGCTAGAGCTCGCCCTCCCCCACATGGTCTGACCCAAACCCAGTGTGGGAGTGGAGGAGCCCTCCCGGACACCCCCACTTCCCCGTCACTCCCAGCCCAGCCTTGGCTGAAGGGTGCAGACACTGCAAGTGCAAGCTGGGCCCTCAGTTCCTTTTCTGAACCTCTCTACCTCTCTGAATAGTACCTGAGCGCCCCTGAATTCCAGAAGCCCCTTGCTTCCCACTCCCACAGGCCATCACCCCCAGAGCAGGCCAACTTCCCATCCCAGACAGCCTGTGGACCCACCAGCTAGCCCTCCCCGCCTGCCCTCCAAGGCCACTTTCTTTCTTTCTTTCTTTTTTTTTTTAAAAGATTTATTTTTATTTATTTATGATAGACATAGAGAGAGAGAGAGAGGCAGAGACACAGGCAGAGGGAGAAGCAGGCTCCATGCCAGGAACCCAACGCGGGACTCAATCCCAGGACTCCAGGATTGCGCCCTGGGCCAAAGGCAGGCACGAAACCGCTGAGCCACCCAGGGATCCCCCAAGGCCACTTTCTAACAATCTCTGTCTCTCTCTCCTCTCATCCTTCCCCATGCGATGCCGGGGGCTGGGGCCTTTTAAAACCACCCTGGCCAAACCCTTCAAAGGCTCCCCTCTGCCTGTGGGACACGGATGAATTCAGTCCACGGTCCTGACCTATCTCCAGATGAAGCACACACCGGCCCTCTGGCTGGGATGCCAGCCTCCCTCCACCTTGGCTGGGCCCCCGGCCACAGAGTAGTCTCCTCGACTGCCAGCACACCCTGCCCTGGCCCCGGCCTCGTTATTCCGGGGCATGCTGACATGCTTTTGGGAGAGTGATCTGACCACTGTTGGCCACCCCCTTGAGGTCGGGGCAGGAACCTCTGTCTTCCTCTTTCCTTTCCAAGAAGGAAGCCCCCAAGCGTTCATGCTGAAGACACTGCTTATGCCTCCCCTGGTTCCACAGCCCGCCGTGTGCACACAGTACCTGCAGCCACATGGGAGACAGGCCAGGGAGGTGGAGCAAGACTGGGCCTCTGCCCTTTGGGCGGCCTCTGCTTCTTGGAGAGGAGAGACGCTTAACCAAACCAGAGCGTGTACTGACCAACACCGGAGCAGCACATGGAGCCTGCACTAGGGACCCAGATGGCAGAGCCTGGCAGGTCCCACAGGAGCAAGGGGCAGAAATCCAGCCCCTGCTCACTCAGGGCTCCTTCCAAGTAGTCAGCTGTGGGGCTTTGGAGTGGCCTGAGCTGTTCATCTGCACGGAAGTGCCTCAAAGTCTCATTAAAAATGTTTGGGTCCCGGGGATCCCTGGATGGCGCAGTGGTTTGGCGCCTGCCTTTGGCACAGGGTGCGATCCTGGGGACCCGGGATCGAGTCCCACGTCGGGCTCCCGGTGCGTGGAGCCTGCTTCTCCCTCTGCCTGTGTCTCTGCCTCTCTCTCTCTCACTGTGTGCCTATCATAAATAAATAAAAATTAAAAAAAATGTTTGGGTCCCCGTGAAGCTCTATCATACCCAAGGTCCCTAGGAGACTGGGGCAGAAGTGGGGTGAATGGACTTCATGCTTTGTAAAGTCAGGAGTGCTGCTAAAAGAAGTGAAGCTTTGAAAGCTTCAAGTCCTGCACCTGCCCACAGTCCCCCCTAACCAGCTTTACTGGGAGCAAGTATACATCAGATAGAATGCCAGTCTGGGTGTAGGTGGGAGCCTGGACCACTGCCAGACACTCCTATAAGTGCCACTTCCTTTGTGGCATGAATGAGTGTACTTGGGTGCCTGGGGGAGCTCAGTCGGTGAAGCGTCTGCCTTTGGCTCAAGTCATGATCCTGAGATGGAGCCCCACATCGGGTTCCTGCTCAACGGGCAGCCTGCTTCTCTCCACACACTTGTATGCTCTCTCACACAAATAAATAAAATCTTAAAAAAAAAAAAAAAGAATGAGTGTACTTGTAGGATGCAAAAAGGAAAGAAAAAGTAAAAGAAAAAAGGGAAAGAGATGAGGGAAGGAGGGGCAGGGACTGATCTGCAGGCAGGGGGATCAGCAGGTGCAAAGGCCTAGCATATCCTGTACATGGTGGTGGAAACACAGCTGATGCAGGAAAAGTAGAAACTGTGATGCTGCTGGCTATGAAGGCCTCGAATGCCAGGCCCAGGGGACAGGATCCTGCCCTCACACTCTCTCCTGCTGATGCATCATGATGTGGCTTTTTCACCTTCCACGGCAGCCACTGGATGACCCCCATATGGCTGCTGCCTCCTGCCTCATGCTCAGAGTTCTGGGGTCCTGGGGTCCCAGGCCCCGCCATCCTACCTTTCACCTACCTGCCACCCACAGAGAAGTCAGACACAGCATAGTAGTAGGACTGCAGCACCTTTGGGTCCTTGAAGATGTCATCCCCAAATGTGTTGAGCCGATCCAGGGAGATGAGGAGCTCAGTGCTGGTGACCCACTCCTGAGGGGCGTGGGGTAAGGATGGAGGAAGGAAGGCATTAGTAGGCTCCTGAGTACTTGCTTTCACCCTGTTCTGTGTGAAGGTCCAGCTGGCTGCCCTGGGAGGGGAGTGGGGTCTCCTAGGACCCAGGGACAAGCTTAAACAAATCTTATTAGATTTTAGATAAATCCCCGAGAACGGTGCAGAAATAAGGAGCCTGTGCTTTGGGATTGAGCAGGTCCAGGTGCCAGGCCACTTACTGGCTATGCAACTCTAGACAGTTACTCAATGTCTTGAAGGCTTGGTTTCCCCATCTGTAAAATGGAACAAGGGATTGTGCCAACCCCACAAGGGTGTTTAGAGGGTAGCCAACGTCAGCAGTGGCGCATGGGGTCTGGCACATGCTCAGTAAGTGGCCAGCAAAGGTGCTGGGGGGCAGGGCTGAGGAAGCCCATCCTATAACTTGTCATGCTGGTCACTTAACCTCTCCCAACGGCTTCTGCACCCCCATCTAAGAGCTGAGCAGAAGGAGGACATGTCCCCGTGCCCAGCTGGGCCTGAAGTGGGCAGGTCCCCAAATGCACAGGCTCCTGCAGCAAGTCACCTGCCCCAGGTGACATCTGTCCCTACAAGAGCAGGGACTTGGGGCCCTTTGTTCTCTCGGCACCCCAGCCCCCAGGCTCTGGCTGGCTCGTCACAGGTGTTCAGTAAATACTTGCTGATCGCTGAATGACACCTTCCCTTGGAAGAGCATGGCGGGGAGGAAGGGGAGAAGGCACGGGAAGGCTGACATTTTCATCTGCCTGCTGTTATAATCAGAGGTACACAGAGGCAGCTCCGGCTGAATTTTAATCAGCATTTTAATTCAGCCCAGGAGCTCCTGGTTTAGCAATCAGGCCCATCAGGGCTGAAACAAACTCTGGCAAAGTCTGTCTTTGGGCCCCAGCATGACGCAGGCCAGCGGGACTCTGCTGCTCCCTCTAAACTCAGTGGCTCAGTCAGCCCACTGCCAGGGCCTGGGACCTCTGCCCAAGGATGTCTCTGCTGGGGAGGGAGGGTCCAGCACCTGAAATACTTCAGCGGGAGCGTCAGCACTGAGCAGGGCTTATAAGTGCTCCGACACCCCGCAAATCACCTGGCAAATGTCAGTGTGCCTTCAGGGATCTGGTTAAAATGCAGCCTCTGATGCAGAGGTCAGGGGTGGGGCCTGGGCTTCTGCACTTCTAGCAAAAGCCCAGGTGGTGCGGATGCGGCAGGTCCCTGGGTCAGCTGACGAACAAAGAGCTGGTGCCTGGGGCTGGAGAGTGTGCACAGTTGTGGGCTGGTGAGAGAAGGGGAATTGGTTCTCTCAGCCCAAGTCGTATGAGGCACTCCCCGATGCCTTAAAGGTCATTTTAGCGCAAACCACATCTGTGACGTACAACGGGCTTTTGCAGCTTGTGATGGCCCCAGCTAAAACCACGGGTGGGGTCTTGGGTGGACTTTACACAGACCTGCGGTCTGGGATGTGGCATTAAGATGCAGGAGGCAGGGAGCCCCTGTTCCGGCCAGCACCCTACAGCAGAGACGCTCAGGTGGCCACTCGGATCTGGTGGCTGGATTCTGCTTCATGGGGAACAGAGGGACCCAAGACCCAGCAGCCACGCACCCACGTCTTTCATTACTTCTCACCCTGGAATGCTCCAAGTCCTCAGAGGAAGCACCTTCCCAGAGCTGCCAGGAGGGGAGGACAGAAGGGCAAGATGGGCTTGCCTTTCATCTGTCCGCTTCCCCCCTGGGAGCAGGGGAGGGTAGGGGGCAGCATTTCTGAAAACACTGTTTCTCTGTCAGGGACAATGTCCAGCACATATGAGACAGCAAGTCAGAGAGGGGCCTTAGCCTGAGCCTCTGCTCCGGGGTGATGGCTCAGACCCAGGAATGGGGGGTCTGGCCCTCTGTTCATCTTCAGATGACCTTGGCTAATAATTTGTAATCTACAGTCTGGAGCCCCGTAGGGAAGAAATTGTCATTTTAAACAGAATCATGATGATGACATGTGACCATTTTGAATGAGACAAGGAGGGCTGGGCATCTGGACGTGTGATTCTGTACCTTGAAGGATTAGCCTTGCCCAAAGAGAGGTCAGGCCTTTGCCCCCTGCTCCTGGGAGGTCACTTCTAAGCCCTCAGAATACCCTGCTTGAGAAGAGTGTCTTTTTTCACCTGCGGTCTTGGGTCACTCCAGTCTATGCTAACAACTGGTTTAGGGGGTGCCTTGGGCCACATGGGATCAGCTTGCCCTCTAGGGGAGCTGACGACGGTCACAGTCAGCCATGCAGGCCATCAGCCACGTCTATGTGACCAACTCCAGGGTACAGGGTACAGGGGAGCCTCCCTGTTGGCAATACTCTGCACACTGTCACATTGTTGCTGGGAGAAATAAGTGCTGTCGCCGTGAATCTACCAGGATCGGACAACGGGAAGCTCCACATCCGGTCCTCCCTGGACCCTGCTCCAGGCACCTCTGGTCCGTTTTGAGTTTCACGGATTTCTTGAGTTCTGTGAGTCCTTCAAGAGAATCACTAGACTTGAGGGAGGTCCTGGCGACCCCAAACCAGCCCTGGCAGGAACACAATTTCTTTCTGGGCCTAAGTGTTCCCTCTAGAAATAAACAGGAATTCTGACCCTTGCCCCCTCGTTATCGCTGACTGGCAAAGGGAACGTTCTGAACCTGTCAAGGGAAGGGATGGCTGTCTTTCTCAGCACAGGAAACCCAGGGAAGTAGACTAGAGGGCTGTCCAGTGCCCAGAAACATCGCACAGACCACCACATCTGTAGGTGAAAGGTCACTGACACACAGGAATAAGGACGTGTCTGGGTGCCAAAACTGGTAGGGCCACAAGCCTGGGCAGACCTGGGTGGGCTGGACAGGGGGGCCTGTGTGAATGGACACAGCTACAAGCCTGCTATTCTTTCTTGGCCATGAGGACGAGAAGGGTAAGCCACCTGGAGCTCTTCCCTGAAAAGTGTGATTGAGCACCTCTTACGTGCCAAGCACTGTGCTGGCGGTGTTAGAGCTGACTGCTGACATCAAGCAGTTTAAATGAAAATTCATTAAAATGAAACCAGACTTAAAAATTGAGTTCCTCGGTCATGCCAGTCTCATTCCTAGCACTCTAGACATGTGGGTAGTGGCCACCACCCTGGAGGGCACAGCCAGACACCATTTCTGTCACTGCAGGACGTTCTGGAGAGCGCAGTGCCACCTTAAAGCACAGAACCAGGACTGCGATTCCTAAACTTATGTTCTTTTCTCGTTTCTCATTTTATCATCATAAAAACCCTTGGGGACACAGAAGAAGGAAGCAAGGCCCTCCGAAGGGTGTTCTAGAAGGTTCTAGAAAGAGCCCCAGTAAGGAGTCAGGACACTTAGGTTCTGGTCTGGGCCCTTCCATGAACTCATGTGTGGCCCTGGGAAACACTCTCTGCCATCCAGGCCTCTGCCTCCCCACCCACGTCAGGAAGGGGCCAGGAGAGCTGGTGGCTGTCACAGGGCCCCCAGGAGCCCCAGGGCTCTGCTGCTGCAGGCTGCGCAGGGGTTCCTGCATCAACCTCACTGTCGGCATCTACAACACGTTGAGACGCCACCAAGGCCTCTGTTGTTTGAGGTCTGAAAACTGTGGCATCCCATAGGAAGCCCTGCATCCTCCCACTTTTTCCTGCGCTCCCCCAGTCCTGAGGACCCAACCCACCAAGCCCGCTCCTCTCTGACCTGCAACACAGGGCTCTCCTCGAAGTTGTAAGCGCTGGGCCGGCCCTCCAGGGTGGAGAAGGCCACGTTGCCACCGCTCAGTGGGGAGATGTCACTGAACTCCGAGGTGCAGAAGGCCACCCGCTCGTCATCGCCAGGGCGCAGGTACTGACCCTCGGGCCTGCCGTAGGTCTTCTGGCAGGAGGCACTGTAGTACTGGTAGGGCTCCCATGGGCCACCGGCACGTGTGCGCTTGTAGATGGCAAAGCTCTCGGGGCGGCTGGTGTGGAACTTCAGCCTCACGTAGGTGATCTCGTAAGCTTTCCCTGCAGCAGGAAGGCAGGGACCCATTTTACAGCAGGGAAGGGAGGGGTCAGAGTCCTGGCGCAGGGACAGTGGGAGGGCGGCCTTGTGTAAACTCTCTTGGGTGGGAGGTTAGAGGCTGTCTGGAGCGCCGTGCTTGCAGTGCCATGATCAATGAGTGATGCCTGTCAGGGGCACCGGACCCAGAGGGAGAGCTTCCTGGGTACCTGCCATCCCTTGCTTCAGCCACCTTGCCTCCCTGCATGGGAACCTGCATTGTCAGACCCCTGACGGGCAGCCAACTCTTTTTGCTCAAATATCTCTAGCAACACCATGTTGCCACATCCTGAAGAAGGCTGCTTTACCATTAGAAAGTTATTTCTTTTACTACACCCCAGCAAAGCCAATCCTTCCACCTGGGTCTTTGGGCTCATTCCTCTCCAGTGACTTCATACCTTTGGAGTCTAGAGACACCCTGTTCCAACTCCCCTAAGTCCCAGTGTGACCCTCCCAGGACCCTCTATTCTTCCAGTGTCCATCTAATGACTCTTTTGGTCCAAATTTCTCAAGAGAAGTCTGCATCTGCTTGGCTCCACGGCCTCACCTCCCAACTTGGCCTGCAGTCCACTGCAATTCAGCTTCTCTGGGCTGCTCCACGGACACTGCTCTTGGAAAGCTCCCTCACCAACAGCCCTCCATGGCCACAGCCAGGGGTCTGGCAATTCCCCCAGGCTTCTGTGCAGCCCCCCTCTTGGGTCATGCTCCTGGGCTGCTCCTCAGACCCCTGCTCATCCCTCCCCCAGGGCCTCCTCCTCCAGTAGCTTGAACCCCACTCCCCTCTCCCACACTGCCGCTGCCCACACCAAGAGAATGGGGGAGCTTCCAGCTTGGGCCCCACCCTGCCTTCCTCTCCGCCAAGCCCAGCTCCCACCATCGTGTCCCAGGAGGAGCCACAACAATGAATTTAGATCCCCCACAGTGATTCTGAGCTGTGCTGGAGGCGGGGATGGGGAGGAAGGCTGTGGGCAGGGAGCAGAGTGGACAGGGAGGGAAGGGTCCCTATACCCTCATCGGAGCTCAGGGGGTGTCAGGGAGCAGTGCCACAAGAACAGAAGAACCAAGTAGTGCTGGGGGATGGGAAGCTATGGAAGAGGACTCTGGAAGAGGACTCGCTGGGAGACCGAGGGGGACTGTTTCTGGGCTGGGTGGCTGGGCTGGGGGAGGCAGGGGGGGCAGCCTCCACAGCTTGGTGAGCATCGGCCCCTCTTTTTTTTAAGATTTTATTTATTTATTCATGAGAGACACACAGAGAGAGGCAGAGACAGAGGGAGAAGCAGGCTCCCTTCAGGGAGCCCGATGCAGGACTCGATCCCAAGACCCTGGGATCAAGCCCTGAGCCAAAGGCAGATGTTCAACCGCTGAGCCACCCAGGGGCCCTAAGCATCAGCCCCTCTAAAGCAAGTGCATGCATGTCTGCAAAACAGGCAAGACATCAAAGGCTGATTTGGAAGGTGAATGCTGGCTGTTATACGCTCCTTGTCCCCTCTCCCCCGTTCATCACCAGAGAACCACCTGCTCATTAACCTGCATTCCCTCACTGGATGGAACTCAGACCAGCACCTGGTCTTTCCTTTCTAGGCTCTGCCACCCTAGCACCTTGCAAAGTGCCCAGTGCCTGAGCAGGCACCACGAGTGTCTACACATATACGAACAGGTGAACAAATGGTCACCGGTCCTACCGTGGCTGGTAGCCTCTCATCCTCAGGGCAGCTTGAGTCCCTCTGCTTCCTGTATCTGCTTTCTTCTCTTTGCCCTGGGGCCCAGATACCCCCGGGGGCCTGGCCCTCGCCGCACCTCTGTCCCTGTCTGCAGTCTTCCTTACCAACCCAGGAGACATCACTTCAGTCTCCCCTGTTTAAGCATCTTGGTCACATGTAGGCACTGAAACTACAAAACTCAGAAGAAAATACAGGAGCAGATCTTTGTGACCTGGGCCGGGCAAAGGCTCCTTAGATGTGACACCAAAAGCCCAAGTGACAGAGATACGTTGGACCTCATCGGAGTCAAAATTGTCTGTTTCTAAAGATGTTACTGAGAAAATGAAAACCCACAGGATGCGAGACGATATTTGCAAATTCATATCTCAGAAGGGATTTACCGAAACTATACAAACAACTCTTATGACTCAATAAAAGACAACCCAATTTTTTTTTATTTATTTATGATAGTCACACAGAGAGGGAGAGAGGCAGAGACATAGGCAGAGGGAGAAGCAGGCTCCATGTACCGGGAGCCCGATGTGGGATTCGATCCCAGGTCTCCAGGATCGCGCCCTGGGCCAAAGGCAGGCGCCAAACTGCTGCGCCACCCAGGGATCCCAAGACAACCCAATTTAAAAAAAAAATGAGCAAAGCATCTAAACAGACATCTCTCCAAAGAAGATACACAACTGGCCAATAAGCACATGAGAAGATGCCCAACATCATGAGCCAGCAGGGCAATGCAAATCAAAACCACCGTGAGACACCACTTCACTCTCCTAAGCTGGATATAATAAAAAAGACAGATAAAAACAAGTGCTGGCGAGGATGTGGAGAAACTGGAGCCCTCCTACACGGCTGCTGGGAATGCGAGATGGCGTGGCTGCCGTGGAACACAGCCCGGTGCTTCCTGCAAAGGCCAACATGGAATACGCAGGATGCGGCAGTTCCACCCCGAGGCTTGTGCGCAAGCAAAGAAGGGGAAACATGTGTCTGTGCAAATGCACACAGCTGTTCACAGCAGCATTACTCATAATATCCAAAGGGTGGAAACAACTCAAATGTTTGTCAACTGACACATGAATCAATAAAATGTGATATGTCACACGGTGGAATAGTGTTCAGCAATAAAAAGTAATGATGGTCTGGGACGCCTACGTGGCTCAACGGTTGAGCGTCTGCCTCTGGCTCAGGGCATGACTCTGGGGTCCTGGATCGAGTCCCGCATCAGGCTCCCACAGGGAACCTGCTTCTCCTTCTGCCTGTGTCTCTGCCTCTCTGTGTGTCTCTCACGAATACAAAAATCTTTAAAAAGTAATGATGTTCTGACATATGCTACAACGTGGATACATCTCGAAAACAGTAGGTCGAACGAAAGAGGCTAATCACAAAAGACTGCACATCATATGATTCCACTTATCTTGAGCATCCCAAGTAGGCGAACCCATAAAAACAGAGTAGATTAATTAGTGGTTGCCAGGGCCTGGTGGGAGGAGTGGAGGCTGGGGGGCAGACACAGCAAGCAGGTGCAGGGTTCCTTTTGGGGGTGATGAAAAGTTCCAAAGGCGACAGTGGGGATGGGGACACAATTCTATGAGCAGACTAAAATGCACTTACACTTTTAATGGGTGGACTGGGGATGCCTGGGTGGCTCAGTGGTTGAGCGTCTGCCTTTGGCTCAGGGTGTGATCCTGGGGTCCTGGGATTGAGTCCCATATTGGGCTCCTTGCAGGGAGCCTGTTTCTCCCTCTGCCTGCCTGTGTCTCTGACTGTCTTTCATGAATAAATAAATAAAATCTTGAAAAAAAAAACACAAAAAACTAGACCTCACACCCATTAGGATGGCCATGATTCGAGACAAAAAAACATCTATTCACAAGTGATGGCGAGGAGGTGGAGAAACACAAGCCTTGTAGCATGGTTTATGGGAGCATAGAATGGTGCATTCGCTATGAAAACGTCTGGCACTTCCTCAAAAAGGTGAAAAGGGAAGGACTCTATGATCCCGCGATTTGGGCACATACCCCAAAGAACTGAGAGCACGATTTTGCACAGGCATCTGCACACCCATGTTCATAGTGGCCCTATTCACCACAGCCAGAAAGTGGAAAGAAAACCCATGTGTCCATCCAGGGATAACGGACAAACCATGGTTCACCCACACCATGGAATAGCATCCGGCCTTGAAAAAGAAGGAAATCTGGACACACGTTACAACACGGATGGAACCCAGGGACATTGTGTGGAGTGAAGTAAGCCAGGCACCAAAGGACAGATACTACAATTCCACTTACGTTGGGTTCATAGTGATGGGGAAGGGAGTGGCGGGGGCCAGGGGCTGGTGGTGGGGCAGTCCATGTCTAATAGGAACAGAGTTTCAGTTTAAGAGGGAAAAGTTCTGTGGGTAGATGGTGGTGACGGTTGCACAACAGTACAAGTGGTTAAGATGCTTAAGCTTCATGTTATGTCTATTTAACACAATAAAACAAAAAAATAGGGAACATATCTACGTGCATCGGCCCTTTAGGAAGGCAGTTTGGTGGCACGGATGAAGAGCCGTGGAAGTATCCCCTGCCTCTGGTGAAATCATCCCATTTTTGGGAATTCAAATGAGGAATGGAGACTAAATGCATGAAAATGTTCATCCAGGTGTTTTCTTAAAAGGAGAAACACAGGAATCATCAGCATCCAATAAATGGAAGGGTATAAATTCACAGGATGACCAAAGCCGTAGAAAAACAGCTGGCAGTGAGCTTGTATGACACGGGGAAAGCTTAAGCCGTAATGCTGAATTGAAAGACATAAGATCATATGTTCAGAATCATCAGATTATTATTTAAAAATCCCTGAAGAATAGACAGAAAAGAGAGACATCAAACGAGTCAGCGTGGTGTCCTCCAGGCAGAGGCCGCAAGTGGCATTTCTTCCTTTTCAACTGTTCTACATTTTCCTATTTTTCTTTCACAAAGCTTGTTCTAATTTAAAAACTGGAGAAAACACGTTAAAAAAAATCTTTTTTTTTTGAAAAGCAACCGCCTTGCCATGTTCTGTTTCCAGTGTTTTTCAAAGTTCTGTTACGGCACAGCTTGGCACCGTAACTCCGAGTCCCTGAAAAGAAAGCATGTGTCATAAACCGAGTCAGTGTCTGGGGGCAGCCTGGTGGCCACGTCTGTTCCGAGGTTCAGGCTTCAGAGCCAGACAGGGGCTTAGCCCAGATGTGCACTCACGGGAGCATGCGGGGTGGAGGCCGCAGCGGGTCCCAC